ATATTGGCGTGTTGTTGCGCACGTGGTGTCGAGTTTTCGGGGCTCGCCGTCATAGGCGCTGTAGAGTTTTGCCCCTAGTTGAGGTAGAACAACGACTCGTACGTTGTTGCTGACGTGGCGTTGTTGTAGGCGAACTCGATCAGCGGCAACTGTTGCTCAGAGGCTGCGAGGTCGTCACACGTGCGCGAATCGGCTGATTCATGGTTTGGTTTGTTCTCTCCGTTTGACTGTCGTTTTCGCGGTGGTAGGACAAACTGGACTGTAGACAATTCCCAAATTGCTCCTAGAAAAAAATTCTGAAGTTGCTGGTAAACTTCATGTCTCAGTAGCTGATGATCACGACTGGTATCCCTTGCAGATGAATGGCATTTGCAATTAGCAGGCGAATGGCGTCTTCAGTTGGGATGGATTTCCTGCACGCATCAAAATGAGCCATTTTCGTCAGTCGGTCAACAACGGCCATGAGCGTGTCGTTACCATCGGGGCTCGCAAGTTACCCCGTGACAAAGTCCATTGTTACTTGCTGTCAGGTGCGCTCCGGCGGCGGAGTCGGCTACAGCTGATCCGCTTTCTTTTGGCGCGAGCTCTTCATCATCTGACATGTGGGGCACAATCCCACGTGGTTCTGTACACCAGTCAATAGCTCCGGCCATCAATAAAATCGCTGCTGTTGCTGTCGCATTTTATCAACCCCAAAGTGACCCAATGTAATCTTGTCTTGTGCCTCTTGCGGTAGAATTTCCTGTAGCAGTTGTTAATACATAATATATTTTTGCTGTGTATCAATCAGTCGGATTTTATCCTGGGGGAGTGCACCAATCATTTTTGCGGTGCTGGGGCAAATCGTTTATTATCGCGGTTCCTCCCCTCGACGCAGGGAAGGCATGGCGGTGCAAGCGAGCGTATGAGCGGGGGCAGGGACCAAGGGAGGCCAGAGACAAGGAGACAAGAGTGCATGCCACGCAGAGGAGAGCCAGAGGAGAGTCTCATGCGTGAGTAGTCGACACGAACAAGACGCAGCTAACTAACCTGACGTAGCTGCCTGTGCAGACTCGGTGGTTATTGTGTACAGGCCAGACCCAGAGCTCCGAATCAAAGTGGCGAGGTCCCTCGCCAGTCCGTGAGTCCGTACAAACCACCACAATCTCACCCACAGGAGTAGTCACAGTGACAAACTGGTCCTGGAGGACTGCGTTAATCACCAAGTTCTTAGAGAACGAGGGGAGGTGGAAACATGTGAGGGAGCCTGAGGGGGCTGTCAGACACGGGAGAATGGTGGAGGCACGTGCTGCGACTGGGCCCCCACAGGGGTCAGCCAGAGAGACCGGGACAGATGCAGTGAGAGGGACTGTGGTGCATTCGTGGAAGAAGCAGGGAGTCGCGCTTGAGTCAAGCGTGAAGGTGTACAAAGCCTCCACAGAAGCTGCACCTGTGCTACCAGGCTCACAGGCACCTAGACTAGTAGCCTCTGTACTGCCAGGGACGGTCGCTGAGAAACCCAGTCACGAAGCTGCTGCGACGAGAGGGTCTCCTGCTGATGTTGCTGCCGCTGCTGTCTAGTACCTCCAGCACCATAACCTCCACCACCAGGATGGCCTCGCTAAATAGCCCACTCAAAAAGTTGCTGTGGCGAGAGAGTCTCCTGGCGACGAGACTGCTGCTGCTGTCCAGTACCTCCAGCACCTTTAAAATCCCAAGCTCCAGCACCAGAGCGGCCTCACCGAATAACCCCACTCACGAAGCTGCTGCGGGGATAGAGGCTCCGGCTAACACTGCTGCTGCTGCTGCTGCTGTCCACCGCCAGACGCTACTACGACTGTAAGAGTGGCCATGACAGGTAGTGGCAGTCAGCAGCAGCGGCGCAAGGGTGTAAGAAGCGACTGCTATAGCTGTAGCTGCAGGAGTAGCGGTAGTCGCTGTGGCTGCAACAACAGTAGCGACCGTTGGAGTGGTCGTGGAGGCCAGTAGGGTGCGTGGGCAGCAGGGCACGGGCTAGCAGCAGGGCACACGGGCAGCAAGGCACGCAGGGCACTGGCAGAGCAGGCACACGGTCGGTAGGTCAGCGCAGGCTGCATGGCAGACGGGCTGCAGGGGAGGGCAGCGTGCGGGCTGCTGGGCAGGGCGGCGCGCGGGGTGCAGGGCAGGGCGGCACGCAGGCTGCAGGGCAGGGCAGCGTGCGGGCTGCAGGGAAAGGCGGCGCGTGGGCTGCAGGGCAGGGCGGCACGCGGGATGCATGGCAGGGCGGCGCGCGGGCTGCAGGGCAGGGCAGCGCGCGGGGTGCAGGGCAGGGCGGCGCGCGGGCTGCAGGGCAGAGCGGCGTGCGGGCTGCAGGGCAGGGCAGCGCGCGGGCTGCAGGGCAGGGCGGCGCGTGGGCTGCCGTGCAGGGCGGCGCGTGGGCTGCAGGGCAGGGCAGCGTGCAGGCTGCAGGGCAAGGCGGCGCGCGGGCTGCAGGGCAGGGCAGCGCGCGGTCTGCAGGGCAAGGTGGCGCGCGGGCTGCGCGAGCAGGGCAGCGCGCGGGCTGCAGGGCGTGCGGGCTGCAGGGCAGGGCAGCGCTCGGGCTGCAGGGCAGAGCAGCGTGCGGGCTGCAGGGCAGGTCTGCGCGCGGGCTGCAGGGCAGGGAGGCGCGCAGGCTGCAGGGCATGGCGACGCGCGGGCTGCAGGGCAGGGCGACACGCGGGCTGCAGGGCAGGGCAGCGCGCGTGCTGCAGGGCAGGGCAGCAAGGGCAGGTCGCGAGCAGCTGCGCGCGCGCGTAGCTCCTAGGGCACCGCGCAAGCCAGGGCAGGGCAGCATGCAGGACGCTGTGAGGGCAGGGCAGTTACGATTGGGCAGGGCAGGGCAGGAAAAACGGGCAGTTCGTACGCTTGGTGGGCCCTAACGGAGCAGTCCTACGGAGGGACTTGCTCTGAATACCATGTCAGAAGTAGCACGCAAGAATGATGGACTAGTAGCATGAGATGAGTACAATTACTTGGTCTAACCCTAAAGTGCTGTACTCAGTAGAGGCTACCCCACTACAGCCTACAGATATACAAACACAATTTGACAGAAAAGACATACGTGCACTGATCTGGGTGAACTGCGCCGCTACCCTGACTTGCAGATCACCAGGGATAGAGTCGCTCGCACCATTACACTATCACGCTACCTTCAGCGGTTCGGGGTTCAGTTCTCTACCGCACAGCCCACTCCTCTTGTCGTCGACCACAGACTCACCGGCCCTTTTCCCGATGAGCCGTTTGAGTCTAGTGGTCCCTATGCAAAGCTTGTGGGCTGCCTCATGTACCTGATGACTTGTACTCGTCTAGACAACGCCTTTTCCCTCTGTGTTCTCTCTCCCTTTGTTGCGGTTGGGAGACACTGTCCTGTACACAGGATGGCTCGTGTGGGAATGGTGAAGTACTTGGCGACTACATCAGGCGTGGGGCTTGTGCTTGGAGGGACACAGCCAGTTCTACTGACCGGTCACTGTGACTCTTCGTACGCCGACAACGTGGAGACCCAGCGGTCTACTTAGGGGTTCTGCTTCAGTTTGGGTGCTGAAGCTGTGCTGTGGGGGTCTACTCGTTCGTCGTATGTTGTGCAATCCAGCACAGAGGCAGAGTTCTACGTTGGTGCCATGGCTGCACTGGATCTCACAGACCTTGGTGAGCGACCTCGCTCTGCACCAACCTTGTTTACTAACAAAAAGGTCATGATCCTTCTGTGTCGAAAGCCTCGACTAGAAGGCAAAGTGGTGCACATCTATGTAAGGTACTTTCTCCTGCGAGAGTTGCAGCGACGCAGCCAGGCTCGCCTGGACTTCGTAGCCTCAACAGCCAACACAGCAGACATTTTCACCAAGGCCCTAACGCCTAGTGAGCACCACAGGTTTTGTTTGCAGTTAGGCCTTGTTGACGCTGGTGTTCGGTTTTTGTAGCCTTGTTTCTTATTGTTTGCTCTGTTTTTCCTTGCATCTATATATATTTGTGAACTCTTGAACTGGCCTTGTGGCGGTTTGCTTGTGCTCAGACTGTGTAGTGATCTTTAGATCCACCCTAAGCGTGGTCTTGTTGCTTCTCTTGACTACTGTTATGATCATTTGTTTCCCTTGTTTGTTCTGACGCCCCTAACTTAGCCTATGGGGGTGTGTCAAATGTTACAATCATATCTTAGGCTACAGTGAGGCATGTAGTATAGGGTATTAGGGTACAACATTTTTCTCTCGACATTCTCCTACTTGTACCCTATCCATTATCAGTCCAACATTCCGCTACGTAACTTCTAAGATTGTTCGTAACTGTAAGGACAGTTCCGCCTGTTGCCACTCCTTCGCTGATAACCGGTCAGTCCAGGTTAGTCGACAGTCGCAGCTGTTGACCATCGTGCCTTTTATGGGCAACGTGATACTACTGCTTGTTGCTTCCGTAGTGACTGGTGCGATATAGCAACACCTTCGGGAATGCTTAGATAGTTCCCTGCTTACTCCAACACCTTCGGGAATCCTCGCCACTTCAATGCATTGTACCCGTAACGTAACAGTTACCATTGCAACTCTGTTTTACAACTCATAATATTATTTCTTTACGTTGTAGATACTTTCACCTATATTTGACCATTCCAAGTGTGAGCCCACAGCCCGCCAGTTTTGTAATAGCCGTTGATTTCGCGTTTCGTCAGATTCGCGCTTCGCTGTCATCCAAACTCAGGCCGACTCGGAGTCGCTCTACCAGACTTGGCATTGCGTTCCACAAGCGCAGGGAAACTAGGAGGCTTGGTAAAACGTTGAGACTCTGTTTCTTGGAACATCTCTCAGGTTACTCTGCAGAGCTCGTAACATTTACAGTTGTCGCATTTGATTGCGTTGGCCGAGCATCTCTCCGAGACAGTGGCCAGATCGCTACGCCTTTCGTGCGAGCCGGAACTTACCAGCAACTTATTAAGTCAACCTTGCTCTGATACGAAATACTTAGTTCAAGGGACAAGCCAAGCGTGTGCGACTGACGGCAAAGATCTCGCCGCGATGTGGCCTTGGCGCACAGCGTCTGATAGCCGGGCAGCTGGAGCGATAGTTATTCTGCCCGACGGCTTTCACCTCTCCCTCGTCGCGCGCCTCTCCGTAGAGCAGGCGCTCAGACGCGTCCTGCCGTACTGCCTCCGCGCATCGACCACGTCACTAGCCTTCCCATCCACGTCATCATCATCCAAGTCCATGCTGTCTTGCTCTGCAGCGTCCGATCCTCTCGAGATCGCCCTTTCGCTACGCGCCGCAACTCCCGGCTTGCTTCACGGCCCCGCGAAGAAGAGTCTTCGCTTGTCGAAGCGGCTGTGTAAGGGATGGACGTACGCAGTCGCCGTGCAGAGCGCTCTTAACGAGGATGAATTCGATAAGGAACGAATGATTCGATTCGACCGGCGCGCGCACTGGGAGGTGCTGGCAGCGGTGAAGGAGCGCGAAGCCGCCATGGCCGTTGCACGCGGTGGCGCGAGGCGGCGACAGGTGAGCGGGATGCGGGGAACGGGAAGGGCGTGGGTAGTAGGGAACAGAGGAGGGTGGGGAGCAGAAGATTAGAAAGTGTGGCACGGTGAACGGGAGCGTGAGATGACGCGTGGAAAGCAATGGCGCAGGGAAGAGAGCTGATGATGCTAGCTGCTACTGCATCACGCGGTATCACCTGCCTTTTCCCCCATCCCGCACATCAGTCGCTGCGCGCAGTCCTGCTCGACCCACATGCCGAGCCGACGCGCAACTCACCGCACCACACATGCCCTGCCTATTCCCACCAGGTACCCGCATCTTCCGATCCAGGCGTTCTCTGGCCCGACAGCCCCGACCGACGGAGCGATCACAGCCGTACGATGAGGTTCCGCTCGCACTTTCAGCTGGAGTCACCAGGATACTCAACCGAGGCATCTGTTAACGGGGATGCGAAGGGCTATGCTATGGGCGACTCAAAAGAGTCGCAGGGAGAGTCGCGAGATTCGAGCGACGGATCTGGTCGAGTCGAGACAGTCGCTACGATTACGACTGGCGAGAGAGGGTCGGAGAGCCGGAGGAGGATGGGTGACAGCGAAAGTAGCGAAAGCGGGGAAAGTGGCGAAAGCGGGGAAAGTGGCGAAAGCGGGGAAAGTGGCGAAAGTGCCGAACAAGGGGAATGCCGATGGGCGAAAGAGGTGACAAGGAGGAGAAAGAGAGAGGAAGCGGACGAAGAAGCACATGCGACAGAGGAGGAGGTGAGTGAGAGCGAGGCGAGTGAGTGGGAGGAGGTGGAGGAGGAAGGCGGGGACGAGCAGGTGGCGGAGGACTGTGAAGCAGAGGCGAATGGAAAAGAAGAAGAGGCGTGGCGGGATGAGAACGAGGATGGGGATGGGCGATGGGAGGAGGAGGTAACGGGAACGGGGGAAGAGGATGACGTGGGCATGTGGGTTAAAGTGGAGTTAGAGGAAGGTGAGGAGAAAGGAATGAAGGAGCAGGAGGAGGAAGAAGAATGGGAGGAAAAGGAGGAGGAGGAAGAGGAGGTAAGGGAGGAGGAGGATGAGGAGGAGGTAAGGGAGCAGGAGGATGAGGAGGAGTGGGAGGAGGAAGAAGAAGAAGGGGATGGGGAGGAAGAGCGAGCGTGCGACGTAGAAGCGGAGGGGGGCGTGGCGGACGAGGGGGGGCGGGTGGCAGGCGGGGGAGCCGTTGAGTTGTGGCGTGGGGGTGAGGCGGCGAGAAGCGGCGGGAGCAAGCAGCAGCACGCCGTGGCGGCACAGGGGCGAGTGGCGGGGAGGCGGGAGGTCAGAGCGGTGACGGTGGGGGAGATGGCGGAGGGGCGTAGCGAACGGGCAGGGGGCGAAAACGAGGCGGAGGAAGAGTTGCAGCGAGGGCTGGAGGGGAGTGGCGCTGCTGGCACGTCAGCAGCAGAGTCGTGTGAAGGCGCCAGGTGCTGCGAGTGGGTAGCGGGGTGTGCAGCAACAGGAGGCGCAGCAGCGGGGGGTGAAGCGGCGGGCAGCGCAGCAGCAGGGAGCACAGCAGCGGGGACGTGGCGGCTGCGGGGAGTGCGGTGGAGCAAGCGGTGGCGCGCAGCGCACGGAGAAGCGGGCGGAGAGGTGGCAGAGCGAGCAGCGTTGGATCCCATGCAGGGTGGTGAGATGCCGGGTGGTGAGATGCCGGGTGGTGAGATGCCGGGTGAGATGCCGGGTGAGATGCCGGGCGAGATGCCGGGAGAGCAGGCAGCGGCCACGGGAGGGCAGGGGGGCGAGCAGCGGACGCAGGAGGGTACAGGTGACGCTGCTGTGGGCGGCGGAGGGGAGGAGGAGAGCTACGGAGGCACGGAAGCAGAGGTGGGTCGTGTGTCCCTGGCCTTGGCGGCGTTGCGCTTGGGTGGTAGGCACGGCGAGGAGGATGAGGAGGGCGAGGCGGTGCAGACGGGGAGTGGGGACGCAGGGAGGAGTGTGGACGCAGGGAGGAGTGTGGTGAGGGCGGAGGGGACGGACGTCAGTGTGGACCCCACCAGTGCTGCGCTGCGCAGCGGCATGCAGTGGATCGAGGCAACCACTCGCCGCTCCGTGCTTGACAAAGGCCCGCCAAAGCAGGGCGCGGAGACGCAGAAGACGTGGCAGCAGAAGGAGGAAAAGGAGAGGCAGGAGAACGAGGTGGTGCAGCAGGAGGCTGAGGAGGAGGCGGGGCGGGGGAGTTCCTCAGAGCTCCCGAGGCAGCGCCACTGGGGCAGCCACAGCAGCCACAGCCACGGCAGCAGCATGAGCGGCAGCAGCTGTGGCATGAGCAGCAGCAGCGTGGCGAGCAACGGGTGCTGTGCGCGGCACAGCAGTGGCGGGGACAGCAGTGCAGCAGGCGGTTCCAGCAGCAGCAGTCCCAGCAGCAGCAGGTGCACCTGCAGGTGCAGGCGTGCCCCTAACACTCAGCCCAACACGAGGATCATTGGCGGTAGCGGTGGCGTTTACAGTGGCCCCCTCAGTGGCCCTCTCAGTGGCCCCCTCAGTGACGCTTGCAACGGCCCTCCAAATGGCCCTCGCAGCCTGAGCGGGCCTCTGGTGCGGGCGGGCAGCGGGCCACTGGGAGCGCGCCTCAGGAGCCCCTCAGGCAGGCTGCGCAGCGCGCCACTCAGGCGATGGGGCAGCGGGCCCTTGACCCGCCAAGGCAACTGGCGCTACAACCGGCCAGGCAGCGGGCCTCTGAGCCACCAGGGCAGCGGCCCTTTGAGCCAGAGCAGCGGGTGCTACAACCATACAGGCAGCAGGACAGGCAGCGGTACAGCCAGCGGCCCTTTGAGTCAGAGCAGCGGGCCTCTGAGTCAGAGCAGCGGGTGCTACAGCCGGGCGGGCAGTGGGCCTCTGGGGGAGCTGTTGAGCGGCAGTCTGAGCCAGCCGTCGCACGAGGCGTTCAGGCTGGCAGCGCAGTGGGAAGAGCGGCCTCTAGACCCCTTGGACCTCTTGAGCCCTCTGGCAGGAGGCGGGAACGACGCTGGTGTGCTTGGCGCTTTCAATGGCGCATGGGGTGGGCTTACACGAGGCGATGCGAGTGGCGGCTGGATGGAGGACGTGTTTGGGGGGCTGGTGGGCGAGCGGAGGGCGATGGGCCGGAGGCAGCCGCTGGTTGACGTGAACTGTGTGGTGGGTTCAAGGGATGAGAGTCAGCAGCAGCAGCAGCAGCAGCAGCAGCAGCAGCAGCAGCAGCAGCAGCAGCAGCAGCAGCAGCAGCAGCAGCAGCAGCAGCAGCACTCATGGATTGTTGTGGGAGACTCACAGAAGAGCTTGTCTCCTGGGAGTTGTACTGCTGGGATGGCAATGGGCGCTGGGCCAAGTGTGACAGGAAGGGCATCTTTCGGGGAGGGGGGAACTGCAGCGTCAAGCGCGCACGGGGAGAACAGTTCAGAGATGTTTGAGTCTGCTACTAGCGAGGATGAGGAGTTCTTTGATGCACAGGCGAGGCGGATGTCCTGGGGGAGCGAAGGGGTTGAATGGATGGAAGCGGTTGACGGGATGGCAGGAAACGAGGAGGGCGCAGAGCGCTGGGGGGAAAGGGCGGTGATGCAGCAGGCGGGGGCAGCAGTGGATGGATTGGAGGAGCAGGAGGTGTGCAGCTGGGATGGTGATGGGGTGAGTGCTCGTCGTCCTCAGCCGTGGCATGCAAGCTCACAAGGGCTAGGAGTTGGGAGAGTGTTGGGAGAGGGCTTGAGGGAGAACAGCGATGAGCAGGGAAATGCAATCGGAGGCGACGAGGAGAGGGTGGGGAGGTGTGATGGGAAGACGGAGAAGCAAACGTGGGAGGAGATTTTGGATGCGACAGTGGCCATGGGGCAGTGCGATGGGACGGAGGAGCCGGCTGTTGAGGCGGCTCCGAACAACATGTTCCTGACGCTGCTGCAGGCTGGCAGTGCGGATCAGCACACGGAGGCCCGAGAGTGGGGCGCGGAGAATGTTGGCGTTGAGGACGGAGGAGGAGATGTGAGAGAAGAGGAAGAGAAGACTGCAAGGGGTGGGCAACGGATGGGAACGGTGAGTGGTGAGCAGCAACTGGAAGAGGTGGAGGGAGAGGAAGAATGGGGGAATGATGAAGAGGATAAGTTTAATCACGAGGAACCAGGGGAGACGGGGGAGGGGAAAAAGGGGGAGGAGGAGGAGGAGGAGGAGGAGGAGGAGGAGGAGGAGGAGGAGGAGGAGGAGGAGGAGGAGGAGGAGGAGGAGGAGGAGGAGGAGGAGGAGAAGGGGGAGGAGGAACAAGTGGAAGAAGAGGAGGACCAAGTGGAAGAGGAAGAGGAGGGAGAAGAGGAGGAAGAAGAGGAGGAGGAAGAGGAAGAGGAGGAGGAGGAGGAAGAGGAGGGGGAAGAGGAAGAGGAGGGGGAAGAGGAAGAGGAGGGGGAAGAAGAAGAGGAAGAAGAAGATGAAGAAGAGGAAGAGGAGGAGAATGACGAGGAGGAAGAAGACGAAGCAGATGAGGAAGAAGATGAGGAGGAGGACGAGGAGGGAGAAGAGGAGGATGAGGAAGGGGAGGATGACACGGGAGCAGGTGACGACCAGAGTACAAAGCTTGAAACTGCCAACGGCATGTCCTTGGTCCTGGAGCCGTCTTTAAGGACTGAGTGGGATGAGAGTGAGGACGATGAGAGCCTGCAAGCACTCGAGGTAGCAGCCAGGTGTGCAGCTTATGAGGCAACCTTTAGGCTCAAGGTGCAGCAGGCACAGCATGATGCCAGTGATTGCAAGTTCACCTCATTCGCGCCAGCTAGTGCAAGATCAGCAGGCATGCTGGTGAAAGGGTGCTGTGATGAAGAAGGTGAGGGGGAAGAGGAGTCTGGCACTGGAAAGGGGGTTGAGCCAGAAAGGGAAGGTCGTCAGGAACTGTCGGATTCAGAGTCGGGCAAAAACACGAGCTCGGGTTCCTCATCTGATCAGAGTGAGGGACACACTTCAGAGGTTTCAGATCTCTCTGGAGAGCAGGCTGACACTGAAAGCACTGCAGATGAGGTGGAGGAGGACGAGCTGGAAATGGCTTTCTTGTTCCGCCAGCTGCGGTTGTTTCATGCAAGCCCAAGACCAACACCAACCATGAAGCAGAGCCATTGGTCGATTTGGGAAAAGGACGAGCTGCCATGGAGACCAGAGCTCCCCATGATAATGGAGGTTCCTGGACTTGAAGCCCTTTGCGTTGCAGAGCAGCAACAGCAGTGAAATTACATTCGGCACTTGTTAGAGTTGGTAGTTGTACCACATATACACTCTTGGTTTGGTACAGTGTGTCGATTGCTAGTTCAACAGCTGATACGTAGAAAGGATGTTTATATTAGTAAATAGTACACGTACTATTACAATTACAACGTCTCTTGCCAACACTTGACACCATTGTTCACAGCCATAGCTTGGCTACATGATGATCTGTGGAGTATCAACATCTGCCTTGACCTCCTTGTGAGGCAAGACCTTTGCGCCATTGATCAGCACCTCATCATTCACAGTGACATCCTCGCCCAGGACGGAATTCTTCTGAATGCGTGTCCACTTCCCCACGGTTGAGTTCCAACCAATAATGCTGTTCAGAATCAGGCTACCTGAGCCAATTTGTGAACCTCCCAGGAGAACACTTCCATGGATCCTCACACCATCGTGGATGATGCAATTGGGTCCAATGACAACATCAGGACCTGTCACAAGCGCAATATCAGCTACAAAGTTTCTTGCCACGTGGATTTCAATTGCCTTCAGTTGACGGCTTACTCACCAACAGAAGCACTCTTGGAGATGGTAGCAGAGGGATCCACGATCACGTTCCCAACAATGTTGCTTCCAATGGCCAGCATCTCTGGATGTGAACTTCTCTTGTGATGCAAATAGGTCTTGATCCCTTCCAGGTAGTCTTTGGGCTGCCCAACATCCATCCAGTAGCCCGTATGAACCATGGCATACAACTTCTTATCCATGGCAATTCTTGGAAAAATGTCCTGCACAAGGCAATGAGAGTCAGCCTCAAAATTATTATAAGAGAGCACATGCGTAAGATGATAAGCACCTTCTCAATTGACATAGGCCGCAGCTCAACCCTCTCAAGGACGGACGGGCTTAGAATGTAGATGCCTCCGTTGATAGTATCACCAACAAATGTCTTTGGCTTTTCCACAAAACGGGTGACGGCACCTGCATCATCCATTATCACGACACCATACTTGCTGGGGTCCTCAACGCGAGTCGCCATAAGTGTAGCTTCGGCACCACGGCTAGTATGAAGCTCAAGCAGTCCTGCATCAGAAGGCATGGATCCGTGAGATAACGGTCAAGTCTGGACAGAGTTGTATGGAAAGAGAGCAATACGAATGTTACCTTTGAATGGATAGTCGCAGATCACGTCGCTGTTGAGCATAAAGAATGGTTGAGGTGGAGAAGACGCAGTAGACTTTAGCAGAATACTCTTGGCTAAAGCCAGAGGCCCAGCCGTCCCTAGCGGCTCCTCTTCCCGAGAGCACGTAATGGTCATGCCTAACTCTTTTTCGTATGTCTCGAGAAACTGCTTGAAACCGTGCGGCATGTAGCTCAATGCAAGGACCACTTCTTTCACGTTGCACTCCCGCAAAGCCTCGAGCTGTGACCAATGTTAGCACATGGAGTACCACGATAAATCAGCGCCTTGGTAACATTATGACAATTACCTGGTGAAGAAGAATTGGTTTTCCCGCGAATTCGACGAGTGGCTTAGGCTTGCTGCACGGATGTTCAGCATTTTATTAATCGAGCATCCTGCATTTGCGTCGCGCATTGATAAGACAGACTGAAACCCTACCTCAACGTCAGGGGTCGAAGGCGTGTGCCATAGCCTCCGACAAGAATCAAAGCCTTGGGCTCCACGCGCATATCTGTACAAGCATGAGTTAAGAAAGCGGAAGCAAACAATGACTGCATGTAAAGAGCTGATTGCAACCTGAGGCCATATGTAAGGCGAATTTCCTTATTGCTGAGAAATGGTCTGGACTCTGGAACAAGCTGACGAGACGGGACGAGATAGTGAATGAGGACGGGGTACGAGGTAGTCCTCTCTTAATGTGAGCTCAACCAGCCCTACTTGCCCCTAGCCGAGCAGCTTTCTACCGCGCTGCGACGAAATGGTGATGCGTCCGTCCTTGGGTTTGGTTGGGGAAGGACAATTTGGGATGAAGGGGTGTACAGAAAAATACGTATGCATATAAACAGCGTATACCTTACGGATTAGAACAATAAGCTGTACATATGGATATGATAACAAACAACATACGGTCTTGAAAATATCAACATACGTATCCATTTTCAGGTAAGTGGTCTAGCTTTAACCACTCTAAGATCGTATACATAAGATGCCCACAAAAACCCTATTTACATCAAATATACCATAGCAGATATACAAGCCTAGCTAAAAAAATCTTGAGCATCTACATGAACTGTAATATGTACAAATTCCTACGGCTTTCTGAAGTCTTGCATAGCTGCACGAGCGGTTGCAGCTACAGCAGCGACGGTTGCATGTGGTAGATAGAAGTATTTTCCTGTTTGGCACAAAAAATGGGATTAAGCAAAAAATCAACACGAGTATTTGACACCTTGAAATTACCTCTATGGCAGATCATTTTAGGATGAGGCAAACACAATAACCTTTGGGTGCTTAGCTTGTAATGAGGGTGCACACTTGTCCGAACCAGGCAAAGGATCGTCACTTGCCAAACGAGTTTGGTACATGAAAGAAGCGCATTTGCGTGCAAGTACCTTTGAAGAGTTATTGCCAGATGCCTGACAAAAATAGGCTAGTTGAATGTGTACCTTCGCCTTAAGAGTACTCACCTTGAGAGTGTTTCGCAATCTCCTTTGCGAAGCCAGAGGAAACAAACTTGTTCTCGGTGTCGATTACCAGCAGCTGTATGCCTGCTGCCCCCATCTTGGCCGCTATGCTCAACACCTCCTCCTGCCAGCCGTCAGGGGATAAGCAGGGAAAGGGCAGCAGCGGATTAAAAAAGGGGTTCCTATGGTAAAAAGGGAGAAGGTGGGGGGGAAGGTGCAAGGGATGCGAGCTCGGTTGGCAAGTTGTGAAACGAATAAGTATTCCTTGCATGGATGATGGATCTTTTCAAGATGAGAGGTACGGAGAGGAGAGGAGAGGAGAGGAGAGGAGAAGAGAGGAGGGGAGAGGAGAAGAGAGGAGGGGAGAGGAGAAGAGAGGAGAGGAGAGGAGAGGAGAAGAGAGGAGGGGAGAGGAGAAGAGAGGAGAGGAGAGGAGAAGTGAGGAGAGGAGAGGAGAGGAGGGGAGGGGAGGGGAGAGGAGGGGAGGGAAGGTGAGATGAGAGTAGAGGAGAGAAGAGAGGGGAGAAGGTGTGTCAGGGCAGGCGAGGTGGAACCTTCTCTTCCCCTCCTGCACCCGTCTAACCCTCTTTGCTGCCACCACCAACACACTGCTACTCGCTGCACCTTCTCCCGTGGGGGACATGAAGCGAGGCAGAGGGGGGCGCGTTGGTAATGAGCACGGCCACCACCTGCCCCACGGCGCACCTTGATGTCTTCAAGCCGAGGAGGAAGCTTCTCCTCCCCGCCTGCGCCCGTCGCACCCTCTCCGCCACCACCGCCCCCCTCCAGGGCCTCGAGCGACGCAGAGAGCGGCACGTTGGCGCGGCCGTCGGTGATGAGCACCGCCACCACCTGCCCCACGTCGCCGCGCCTCCGAGCCACCTCCGCCGCCCGCACCGCCACCACCAGCGCGTGCGCCAGCGGTGAGCCGCCCCCACACGGCAAACTCTCCAGGCTGTGAGCAGGTGGGATGGAGAGCGGAGGTTGATTAAATCAGGACGAGCAGGTGGGGATGGTGGGAAACAAGTGCAACACAGAAATGATTCTTGCGTGATCTCTTGGACAATGCTGGGTATGGAAGGAGGAACATGGTTGCATGGGAGAAGTTCGAGATGGAGGGTGAGGAGACGAGAGGGCAGGAGCGCAAGAGAGCGGACAGGCAATGGCACAACTGCTCCATGCACCGCTTTCTGCACCTCCATCTCTCACCGCAACCAACCACTTTCTCCACCTCGCACTGCCCCAGCATCCCCACAGCATGCACCGCTTGTGAGCGAGAGCGACGGCGCCGGAGGGCGGTACGAGCAGGTGGGCGTGCTGGTCGTGGAAGGGCACGACGGCGATGCTGACTCGCTTGCTGTAGCTCTCCGCCAACAGCTGTAGCGCTGCTCCCTGCTCCCCTCCATCTCTCACCGCACTCAACCGCTTCCTGCACCTCATAATAACCCAGTGGTACCACTACTCACGTACCGCTTGTGGGCAAGGGCGACGGCGCGGGAGGGCGGCACGAGCAGGTCGGCGTGCTGGTCATGAAACGGCACGACAGCGATGCTGTCCCTCTTGCTGTAGCTCTCCGCCAGCAGCTGCAGCGCTGCTCCCTTGGCCGCCCCCATGCGGTTCAACGCCATGCTGCCACTCGCATCCACTATGAACACCACCTGGGGGAGGGGAGGTGGGGGGAGACGGGGAGAGGGGAGAAGGGAAGGTTTGGGAGGTGAGTGTGTGTGTGTGGGGGATTTTTCTTGGCCGCCCCCATGCGGTTCAGCGCCGTGCTGCCACTCGCGTCCACTATGAACACCACCTGGAAGGAAGGGGCGGGTAGGGATGTGGGAGGTGAGCATGTGTGTGGAGGGGTTCTTGGTCGACTGTGGCTCAGCAGCGCCTTTCTGCCACTCCCAACCACTATGAACACCACCTGGGAGGGGGAGGGGAGGGGTGGGTTGGGTAGGTGCCATATGGTGCAGGTGGGCGGTTCAGCGCCTTTCTGCCACTCCCAACCACTATGAACACCACCTGGGAGGGGAGGGGGAAGGGGGGGAGGGCGTGGGGGGATTGACTGTGTTGGCATGTGGTGCAGGTGCCAAGTGGTGCAGGTGCCATGCGGTGCAGGTGCCATGCGGTGCAGGTGCCATGCGGTGCAGGTGCCATGCGGTGCAGGTGCCATGCAGTGCAGGTGCCATGTGGTGCAGGTGCCATGTGGTGTGAAGGAGGAAAAGCGGAAGAGTTGGTAGAATGGTACAGGTGGCACGGGAATGAATGGACAAGGCAGTGGTGAGAAACGATGGTACACGGTGGTGACCACTGCTCAATCACAACCCAACGCTCAGCAGCGCCACGCCGTGAAACGAGCTTTGGCCCAACCACCTGAGCTTTGGCCCAACCACCTGAGCTTTGGCCCAACCACCTGAGCTTTGGCCCAACCATCATCGTAACAGCCCAACCACCTGCGCCCATCACTGGGGCACCATGCGCTGGATTGTGTGGGCGTGGTTGCATGATTGCCATGCCCGACGGAGCATGACGGCTCTCCTGCACACCACACGCACGCAGCACACCCCCACACCCCACCCACGCGCGCATGCAGCCTTCCCTGCGCCCACCAGAGACGACGCTCGCCGCGCCAGCAGCTTCCGCCGCAGGTCGCTCTTGTCCACATAGATGCGCCGCTCCCTGCCGCCCGTCCTCGCCGCCCTCTCACGCCGCACCCGCTGCAGCGGTGCCGCCGCGCGCAGCGTGGCATCCACTGCGAGGCGCACCACCTGGCGAGGATGGGAGGGAAGGGAAGGGGCGCGGTGATATGCTTTGAGGCACCTGAACAGTCACAGTGTGGCGTCCCCTGGTAGTGGTGGCAGAGGTAGTGGTGTGTGAGGGAAGAGGTGGTGACTGTTGGGGACGGGAACAGTATGTAGGCGACGAGAGGGGTTGGGAGGGAAGGGAACGTGATCTTGGAGGCAGCGCGGCACAGCAATGGCAGCGCGGCACAGCAATGGCAGCGCGGCACAGCAATGGCAGCGCGGCACAGCAATGGCAGCGCGGCACAGCAATGGCAGCGCGGCACAGCAATGGCAGCGCGGCACAGCAATGGCAGCGCGGCACAGCAATGGCAGCGCGGCACAGGAATGGCAGCGCGGCACAGCAAGCAGCGCGGCACAGCAAGCAGCGCGGCGGCCAGCTAGACACACTGCCTGGTGTGCTTGCAAGCGTGGTAGCGTGCAATCCACGCGTGTGTGGGGAGGTGGGCGATGAGCAAGGGGGAGACGGTGTTGAGGGCGGTGGGTGGGCACACAGAGGTGAGGAGCACGCACTGGTGCTTCTTACCATCGCAACCCACCTGGCGGCCAACTGCCTGACCCACCTGGCGGCCAACTGCCTGACCCACCTGGCGGCCAACTGCCTGACCCACGTGGGGGCCAACTGCCTGACCCACGTGGGGGCCAACTGCCTGACCCACGTGGGGGCCAACTGCCTGACCCACCTGGCGGCCAACTGCCTGACCCACCTGGCGGCCAACTGCCTGACCCACCTGGCGGCCAACTGCCTGACCCACGTGGGGGCCAACTGCCTGACCCACGTGGGGGCCAACTGCCTGACCCACGTGGGGGCCAACTGCCTGACCCACGTGGGGGCCAACTGCCTGACCCACCTGGCGGCCAACTGCCTGACCCACGTGGGGGCCAACTGCCTGACCCACGTGGGGGCCAACTGCCTGACCCACGTGGGGGCCAACTGCCTGACCCACCTGGCGGCCAACTGCCTGACCCACGTGGGGGCCAACTGCCTGACCCACCTGGCGGCCAACTGCCTGACCCACCTGGCGGCCAACTGCCTGACCCACCTGGCGGCCAACTGCCTGACCCACGTGGCGGCCAACTGCCTGACCCACGTGGGGGCCAACTGCCTGACCCACGTGGGGGCCAACTGCCTGACCCACGTGGGGGCCAACTGCCTGACCCACGTGGGGGCCAACTGCCTGACCCACGTGGGGGCCAACTGCCTGACCCACGTGGGGGCCAACTGCCTGACCCACCTGGCGGCCAACTGCCTGACCCACCTGGCGGCCAACTGCCTGACCCACCTGGCGGCCAACTGCCTGACCCACGTGGCGGCCAACTGCCTGACCCACGTGGCGGCCAACTGCCTGACCCAGAGTGCAGGTAAGAGGTACAAGGGGAGGGCGGGGAGCAGGGGTGCAAGGGATGGGTTGCACCCAGAAGCAGCAGTGGTGCAGCAAGCACGGCCATGGACGGCGCTCGCCCTCCCTTCATCACACCTCCACCCGCCCCACTGACCAAAATTTCATATCAAAGCTGCAATGAATATGAAGAGAAACCAAAACTTCATCACACTCCTTGCATGGCACGAGCACGTGCCTTCACAAATCGCCTTCTCGCAACCCACACCAATTCCACCTTCCTTTTCACTGAATCACCACGTCCTGCAGCACCCCCCCACCAGAACCCCCCCAGCAGCAGCGCACCTTGCCCTTGGGCAGCACGCACCTTCCCTTTGGGCAGCAGCGCCTTCACGTATCGCCCGCGCTCCTCCGAGTAGATCTTATTCTTCGACCGCCCCGCCCGCCCCGCCGTGCGCGCTGCCCGCTGGAACAGCTGCAGGGCGGCGGCATCGAGCCGCGTGTCCTCCGCTGCCACGACGAAGGATGCTGGCACCAGCTGCTCCTCGTCCACCTCGGGCGGCTGGGCAGGAGCGAAGGGACGGGGGGGAATGCGAGGAGAAGTGACGGTATGAGAGGCGGCTGATCCTCGTCCACTTGAGGCGGGTGGGGCCAATGAAGGGGAGAGAGGGGAAAGATGGGAGTGATGGCGGAGGCGGCGTGGAGATGCTGTCCTCTGCTGCCACCACCAAGGACGCCGGTACCAGCTGATCCTCGTCCACTTAAGGCGGCTGGGCAAGTGAAAGGATGGGAGGAAATGCGAGGAGTGACGGTATGAGAGGGTGCAGTGGTGCTTTGAGGAGTGTCGTGTGCTGCCACTCAAACGACGCTCGTACACTGAAGCTGATCTTCGCCCACTGGGGGCGGCTGGGAGCAGCGAGGGTTGATGGGGGGGAGTAAGGGAGAGGCGGGGAAGGGGAGTAGAGATGGGGGGATGAGAGAGAGGAAAGAGGCGGCGGCGTGGAGACGGGTGTTCTTTCCAGCCATGACGAATGATGGCGGCACCAGCTGATCCTCGTCCACTCGGGGCGGCTGTGGGAAGTGGGGGTTGGGGGAGGAAGGTAAAGAAGAAAGAGGGGGAACTAGAGGGGAGATGGAGGAGAGGGAAGGGTAGGAGCGTGTCGTGTGCTGTCACTACAAAGAATGCTGGCAGCGGGTGGGCCTCGTCCACTTGGGGTGGCTGGAAGAGGCGGACGAGCGGAGTGGGGTGAGGAGACTGGCCTTGGGGCGACACGCCTCTGCTGCACCACCTGCTCCTCGCCCACTGGGGGCGGCTGTGGCAGGACGGGGAAAGGGGGGGAAGGGGGCAGGAGTGACGGGAGGAGAGGGTTCATGGATGCTGCGATGCGAGGTGTGTCCCCCTCTGCCACGACAACTCACGCCCCCTCTACTCATCCTCCTTCACTGCACGGGCCTGGGGCGAAGTGGGGAAAAGGGGGTGGGGGGAAGAGAGGAGTAAAGGCAGGGGACGGTGAATGGTGCGGAGGGGAGAGAGGAGTAAAGGCAGGGGACGGTGAATGGTGCGCAGGGGAGAGAGGAGTAAAGGCAGGGGACGGTGAATGGTGCGCAGGGGAGAGAGGAGTAAAGGCAGGGGACGGTGAATGGTGCGCAGGGGAGAGGCCGCCGCTGCGGTCATGAAGGATGCTGGGGGAGGCTGGTCGGTGGGCGGGAAGGCGGGAGGGCGGGAGGGCAATAGAGTGGGGGGAAGGAGGGGCTTTGCCGCCACTGGCTGCTCGTCCACCACGGTGGGTGAGGGGCAGAGCGGAGAGGGCAGAGCGGAGAGGGCAGAGCGGAGAGGGCAGGCGGACGAGGCTGGGATTGCGGATGCCATTGAACCCCTAGATGAAGGTTACCTGTTTCAACTCCTAGAACCCCCGCTTGGACCCCTTGTGGCCCAGGCGGGTGGCGAGTAGGATGATTGACTCACCATCAACCTTGCATGCTTGTATGCATAGTGCTAATTAATACAAACGGACCATTCGAGCGGAGAGGGCAGAGCGGGGGGTGAGTGGCGAGGTGGTGGTGACCTCATATCAATGCTGTCCCTCGCCTCGTGCTCTACACTCGTTCCATGCTTCCCCACTCCTCCACACACTCTCGCAGCATGTCATGTCATGCATACAGTGCTACCTCACCCCATGTCATGCATACAGTGCTACCTCACCCCATGTATGCCACTCATGCCCCTGCCCTGTCACACCCATCATTTCACGTGCTGCAGGCGAGCCATGCCAACACCAACACCCACTCATTTCCCCTCCCACTCCACCCTCTTCCTTGCAACCCTAGCCCCTACTCTTCCCCCTCATCCCCAACCAACCCACTACTCGTCTGCTCCTCCTGCGGCTCCTTGCTGCTCTCCTCGGGGCGACGGCTGGGCAGGGACGGAGTGGGCCGTCCCTTACCCTGCTTGTCAACCGCCCCTATTTACAACCCCCTAGTCTCCTACTTCCTCCCCCCTACCCCACCCTCCGCCCCTGCTCACCTCGCCCTCCTGCTCCTCCTGCGGCTCCTCGTTGCTGTCGTCCGCCCGCCTGCTGGGAGGAGGGGGTGCTGCACGGGCGGACTGGGGTGGGCTGCTGCTGGGCTCGCTGGCGAATGCCACCGTGGCACGTGGCACTATTGCCAGCTGGGCCTGCTCCATGAGAGAGGGGCGTTTCGGGACGGGAGGGGGAGGGACGGGGTTATGGGAGGGAGGGCGGGTGGGGATGAGAAGGGATGGAGCAGGAGGAGGAAGGGACAGGGAGTGAGGGTAGATGGCAGCACTCGAAGCACTCATGCTGTCAACCTCTACAGCCCCAACAGCCTCCTCACTGTTACCCCACACGTGCCACCCCTTGGCATCCCAGTGGCCCCTGAGCGCTGCCGCTCCTTGCTTTCACCTGCTGACACCTGCCTGCTTGTACCAGCAACCCAACTGCCCTATAACTCCCCCACTGCAACACCCCACTCCCCATCACCACCCCCCACCGCCCTCTCAACCTCCCTCACACTTAGCCCAAACGAGCCACCAGCTCCCACACCCCTCCCCTCTCCCCAACCCCACCCCCCCCCCACTTCTCCTTCCCCCTGGCAGCACGCACGGCGCGGACGAGGTCGGCCTGGGTGACCTGCGGTCGGCCGTTGAGTGCCGCCAGTGCCTTGGCTGCGCGCACCGCAAACAGCTCAGCGCGCTGCCCCTGCCACCACCAACAAGGGGGGCCGTGCGGGGCGGAGGGCGGAGGGGGGTATGTGGGGGGTGGAAGGTGTGGTATGCGGTTGATGAGATGCACACAGCGTGGTGCAGCACACTGCAAGAGGATGCGGGGGCACGTTGGAGGAGGCACAGGGGGAGGATGGACGGAGGAGAACGGACGGGAGAGGGGGGAAGTAGGAGGAGGGAAGGAGGAAGGAAGGAGAAAACACGAGAGATAAATAAGAGGCTTGGAAAGAAAGCACATCCACTCCCCCATCTCAGAGCATGTCACTGCATCTCACCGCATCTCACCGCATCTCACCTCGCACTCCAGCTGCACAGCAGCGTCCACGAGGAATGCAATCTGGGCCCGTGAGATGCTGACACGTGGCAGCAGCTGTCGTGCAAACAGCACTCGAAGCCTATCCGCTTCCACCCCCTCCTCCACGCTCTCCTCCTCCTCCTCACCCTCCTCGCCCTCCTCTCCCTTCTCCTCTTCCAACAACGCCTTCCCCTCGGGTCCCACATTTCCTCTCGCCCCTCCCCCAGCCGTCAGTCTGCCGTCCAAAAACGCGTTCGCCACGTCAGCTGCAGCCACCCGCTGCTCCAATGAGAGCGGCGCATCCGTGCTGACGTGTCAGGCACATGCAGGGACACATGTGTTGAACAAGCATGAAAGGAGGCAGGTTGACTCTTGCAACGAGGTACATGGTCACATTCCTTGCCTTGCGAGCATTTTCTAGAGCACCACGGACGGGTGGGGGGGCTTGGAAGCATTCAGCTGCACGCCTCTCCGTGCCCTCACGCCTCTCCGTGCCCTCACGCGCACTCAACTCACCCACTTGAGAATGAGTGCGTCACCGCCTTCCACCCCCGCCCTCCCTCTTCCCCCCATACCCACCCTTCCACCACCGCACCTCATGATCACAGCAGTGCAGAGCAGTACCCTCCATTATTCAAACCCCCGCCCCCACCACCGCACCTCACGATGAGAGCGATGCGCTCCAGCACGTGTCGTCTCAGCGCCCCTTCCTGTGGGTAGCACAACCGTCAGCCCCCACTCCTAGCATCCCTCGCACCTCACAATCACTGCACTAGTTACCCCACAACTCCACCTGCGCCTAGATCAACCCACTACCCCCAGCCCCTTTTGAGGCGCCTCAAACGTCGTCTCCGTTCTCGCGGATTCTTTGTGGAGAGGATTATACTGCTTGTTAGTGTTCTCGTAACTTGCAAAAGTTACTGGTGCGTGCGTGGTTACCGAACCGATCAAGCCGTTTGAAGACTTTTCGCGGAAGCTGACATAGCACATTGGGTTTACCCCCTGCTTAGTTGGCGATTGCTTATGATGTGCAATCTGGGTAGTTGGTGTACATTGAGGAGATCTCGAGGGCAGGAGCACGGTACTTAGCTACCTTCTGTCCGAGACCTTTCTTTCTTGTATGAACCTGTAAGCAGCACTGATGAAGGCCTAGCAGGGTTCTGTCCCGGAGGCCGAAACTAGTTTGCGGAAAAAGGTTTCTTTCGAGTTTGAAGGTTTGAGATTTTCTTGAATTTCTAGGAAGAGTTTTTACAGTCTTGATCCTTTTTGCTTAAACGTGTTTTAAAGGTTTGCTGCTACTCCCGATATGAATCTCGACCCCCCAACTCCACCTGCGCCTAGATCAACTCACTACCCCCACCCCCCTTGGCGCCTAACGATGAGAGCGATGCGGTCTAGCAGGTGCTGTCGCAGCGCGCCCTGCCATTCGCCCCACCCTCTTGCCTCCTTCCTCCCCTTTTTACCTACCCCACCCACAACCCCACCCCCACGCCCACCCCACCACGGCACCTGACGATGAGAGCGATGCGGTCCAGCAGGTGGCGTCTGAGCGCGCCCTCCTGCGGGTTGAACGACGCCAGCAGCAGCGGCCGGCACGCGTGGCGCACAGACAGCCCCTCGCGCTCCACCGCACTGCACCCCTCTGCGAGCGTGGCGAAGAGCAGCGCCGCCAGGGCGTCGTCCAGCAGGTTGGCATCGTCGATGTAGAGCACGCCGCGGTGGCTCTCTGATGAGGTGGGGTGCGGTGGAGTGCGGGGATGGAGGGAATATGGGCATACGAGGGGAGTGGTGGGGGCGAAGAGCAGCGGCGCCAGGGCATGGTCCAGCAGGTTGGCGTCGTCGATGTAGAGCACTCCGCGGTGGCTCTCTGGGGGCATGGCGTGCCGTGGGTGCGGTTGGGGTCATGGGCGGTGGGTGGGTGGCAGGGATTGCATGCATAGTGTTGTGGGGTGGCATCAGGGAGAGGGAAGAACAGCGCCGCCAGCATGTCGCCCAGCAGGCTGGCGTCGTCCATATAGAGCACTCCACGGTGGCACTCTGGGGGCATAGGGGGGAAATGGGATGCGGTGGAATGCGGTGGGGTGTGGTGGGGTGCGGTGGGGTGCGGTGGGGTTGAATGTGCGGGGGGTGGGAGGGACTGCGTCCATCATCCAGCAGATTGGCGGCATCGCTGTAGAGCACCCCGCGATGGCATGGTCGATGCGATGCGATGGGAGGACGGGAGGGGGATGCGATGCGGTGGGGTGCGGTGGGGGTGAATGTGCGGGGCATGGGAGGGCGTGCGTGCATGGTCCAGCAGGTTGGCGTGGTCGATGTAGAGCACCCCGCGAGCACCCCGCGTGGGTCATGGGAGGGGGAGGGGAAAGTGGAGAGAATCGGGAAGATTGGGGAGGATATGGAATGGACGTGGCGGTTGGGGGGAAGGGGGGGGTTGGTGCATTCTGGAAATGGGGGGGGCATCACGAGGAGTGGGGACATGGTGGGGGATAAGGGGAGCGGATAGTGGGGAGAGTTCTCGACAGCCCAGCGCGAGGTCCAGCAGGTTGGCATCTTCAATGTATGCCGTGCTGTGCCGTGCCATGGTGGCACGCCATGGGATGGGATGGACGTGCTGCTTGCATGGTGCGCGGCATGGGAATGATACGATACGACACGGGGTGTGCGGGGTGCCACACGCTCTGATAAGCCAGCCGTGGTGTGAAAGGGGTGAAGGGGGATTCGCACCGCATGCCACACTGACGGGCTGGCAGCGACCAGGCTGGCAGCGACCGGGGTGGCATAGCGGTGAGTGGCATAGCGGTGAGTGGCATAGCGGTGAGTGGCATAGCGGTGAGTGGCATAGCGGTGAGTGGCATAGCGGTGAGTGGCATAGCGGTGAGTGGCATAGCGGTGAGTGGCATAGCGGTGAGTGGCATAGCGGTGAGTGGCATAGCGGTGAGTGGCATAGCGGTGAGTGGCATAGCGGTGAGTGGCATAGCGGTGAGTGGCATAGCGGTGAGTGGCATAGCGGTGAGTGGCATAGCGGTGAGTGGCATAGCGGTGAGTGAGAGCCACGAATGATGCTGCCACGCCAGTGGTGGGCGCAGCTGTGCACCCCGCTGTGCATCACTCCTGCCATCCTGCTCTCACCCATTCTTCCCTCGCTCACCACAAAGCCTTAGCCCGTACAGAACTCGCACCCCCTCGCCCCTCGCCCCTCGCCCCCTCAACACCTCAACCCTCACCCAACCCCCCCCCCACACCCCTCACCCACCCCCGCGGCCACCCATGATCCGTGACCCCCATGATCCGTGACCCCCATGATCCGTGACCCCCATGACTCACGCGCAAGCAGCCCCGGCAGGAAGATGTTGCGGCCCGCCTGGATGGACGCCTCCACGTCCACCGACCCTAACAGCCGGTCCTCCGTCACTCCCAGCGGCACCTGTGCAAGGGAGGGCACAAGGGGACATGGATTCGAGGGATGCGAGGGGGTGCAAGGCGGTACAGCGGATGTGAGGCCTCTGCCGTCCACGTCCACCGATCCCAGTAGCCCACCCTCCATCACTCCTAGGTGCACCTGGGGGGGGGGAAGAAGGGGACACGGACCAAGGGGTGCAATGCGGTGTGAGCAGGTGTAAGAGCGGCAAGGATTGGAGTGGGCATGGTAAGGGCTTAGGATGGCATGAAGTCGACATGACATGGCACGGCATGGCAAAGCAAGGTATGGCATGGCACGGCATGGCAAAGCAAGGTATGGCATGGCACGGCATGGCATGGGCAGGTGCAGCACCCACCTGCACAAAAGGCGGGTTGCAGAGGGTGATGGGTGGATGGTGCTCGTCGCACCCCCGCTCCCTTATGCTCTCCCTTAGCCCCTCCTCCCACCTGCTCCCATCCCATGCACTCATGCACACACATGCACTCATGCACACACATGCACGCACGGATGGATGGGAACATGCATTGCCAAGTGCACTCTACCTGACTAGAGCCAATGAGAAACGCTTGAAATGCTCACGTCATCGCTCTCGTCTGTCGTTCACAATAATCCCACCCCTTGCATGCAGGCATCCCCCACTGCACCCACTCGCTCCTCCACATGTCCGTCACCACGCATGCACACTCACTCCCTCTCCCTCGCTTCCCCGCGCCTCTCCCCTCTTCCCCCTCTCTCACTCATTTAGCGCATATCTCCACGAGTTATTGATTGAGAGCTGTCACACATGGCGCCCCCCCCATCCATGTCTCTCACTCATCCAGCACGCGTCTGCACGAGCTGCAATCCCAAGCCCAGCAACGCCGCATCGGCACTGCTGCCTGCACCCATCACAGCTCTGCACCCATCACAGCTCTGCACCCAACCGCACACTCCATTATCCCCCTACCCTCTCCCCTCCCCAGGCCCCCACTCCCCCGTCCCTTCCCCCTTCCACCCCCTCCCCACCTCCCCCCTCCCCCGCACTCACTCTTCCGGCATGAGCGGGTCCGCATTGGCCCAGCTGCCCTCAACAACGGCAATGGGCGGCAGCAGCAGGGGCAGCGCGCGCGCCATGACGGTCTTGCCCGTGCCGTGGCCCCCCACCAGCGCCACCCCTCCCAGCCCCGGATCTACTGCCGCTGCCAGCAGCGCCTCCTTCACCGCCGCCTGGTGGGGGGGGAGAGGGGGGTCGGGGAATGAGGGAAAAGGGAGGAGAGAAATGAGGGCAGGGGGGAAGGGAAGGAGGAAATGATGAGGGCCTGCGCGGCTTGCAGCAGCGCCGCCTTTAGTGCAAGGGAGATGGAAAGGGAGGAGGAAGAGAGGGCGAAGGGGAGCGGAGCGGAAGGGCGGAGGGGCGTCTTGCCCGTGGCATGGCCACCACGGCACCCCGCACACTGCTCCGCCCATGTCAGGACTCTCCGCTGGTAGAGCCTGCTCCGCTGCTGTGTGGGGCCATGCGAGGAGGGGTGTTGGGAGGGAAGGGGCAGGCGAGAGGGGGGGGTGTTGCGGGACAGTCACACAGATTGTTGGCGCTATAGTGGGAAAGAGGGAGGGAGAAAGGAAATAGTAGATGTTAGACATCTCCACTTCTCATCCTCTCATCCTCTCATCCTCTCACCCTCTCACCCTCTCACCCTCTCACCCTCTCACCCTCTCATCGTTTCACATCGTCGCGACTGCCTGCTGTCATCCCGCCACCGCCACGGCGACGGCGATCCCCGTTACCTGGTTGACGATGCTGCTCAGGGGCAGATTATGTCGCGATACGTCCACGCGGCCTCTCCGTGCTGACTTGGCGTCAAAAACCGCGCCAGCCAGCTCTGATGATGATGTGGCGTCCGATAACTGGCCGGGCTCCTGAAGCTGCTTAGATGAATCCTCGCGGTCCAGCTTGGGACGGCCTTGACCGTCCATCGTCGTCGGCGTCGTCGTCTCCGTCGCACTCGTCGCCACGCTTACAGCAGGCAAATTAGCAGGCGACGCGGCAGGCGAACCCCTCGCGGCAGGCTGCGAAGCCGTTGCGACAACGCTAATGCGACGCCGCCCTGTCGCAGACATGCGCGCCAGACAGGCGACGCGGCGAGGGCGATTAGAAGAGACAGGCGCGGGCGGATTGGGGAATGGAATGAGCGAAAGCAGCGGAACGCGGGCAGGGGCGTAAGTGGCTGCGGGAATGCTCCTTGCGCGCCATGGGGTGGCGGAAGCGTGTACTATTTGATACTGGCGGCTGCGTGCCGCGTTTCCAAAGTCTAAATGGGAAAGGAAGCGATCGCATGGACAGATAGACGAAGTTAACGAGCAGGCACTCCTATGCCTCGCTGCTGAGCGGCAATTGCTGACGGGCAAACTCAGTTCGCTGACAGCAACTGGCACTACCACTTGACGCGACTGGATAAGCCGAATGCTAGACATGGTGACTCGATAATATTAGGAGTTGGCGACTAGAACGTGTTATTCTGCTGCCATGACATGGCGCCCGCTTCTAAAAGACTAGATAAAGAAAGCACGGAACGAAGTAGCGTGAGTGTGATGAAGAAATGGAAGGATGGGGGAATTGCCAAGAACGAGGGACGAACGAGTCAGTGAGGAGAGGAGAGAATTTGCGGGCAAGTGGGGAATTGCGGCGCGTTCGCTTGATTGGAAATTGTCCTTCCCTCGAAATCTACGTTCGCTGTGACGCGACGCGGGAAAGAGAGAATTCGTTTCCAGCGTGGCGACGTTGAAACACAACGGGAAGGAGAGTGGACGGAGCCACATAGGAATGACGTCACGTGCATGCGAAATCGCACGTGGCGGACGAACGTGAAGCGAACTCGAGCTGTGCTGTTGAATTGAGGTGTCGAACAAAGAGAACTGAAGTGGCGATAAACAGCTTTTCGTCAAAAGGCGAGTTACACCAGCTGAACTGCGCATCGTCTGCAGATTGTCGAATGAGGTCCAAAAGCTTTGTACACTGTACCGATCGGTTCCCAGCTCAAAACTCTCTCGACCGCAAACCACCTAACAATACTGCGGAACATGAATTGACAGGGAATGGCCAACCCAAGCAATGAATTCCCCTCCCTCATGAAATCCGATTGCTATCTGCCCACCACCACCTTCGTTCCACTCACACAAGCATGCGTCAATGAGCCAGAGAGCCTAGCAGACAGTCATGGCGACAAGCGGCGAAGGTGGGCCTGACGATGGGAGTCCTGCGCGTGGAGGGGGTCTGTGGGGCGTGCCCAAGGGGGTGTGGCGCGCTGTGTGTGTGGCGGGGGTGGTGGGAGTGGGAGCCATAGTGGCCCGACATGTGAAGCACAGGGCGGAGGAGCAGCAGGTGCTGCAAACTGCTAGGCTCACTGCCGTCGGAATCAAGGACACGGTGGGTTAATTGAATTAATTTGCCCTGAAATAGGGGGAAATTGAAGGAAAAAAAATAGAAAATAAGAGAGAAAAGAATGAGACACATACAAACATGAAAACAAAACCAAGCAAATCAAACTACAAACCACCAGTCTCATATCTCGGTGCCATGTCGTTTCAATACTGTGGCGCAGGTGAGAGTGATGCGCGCAGTGGGGAAGGCGCACTCATCGGTCAGCATAATATAGCTCAGCCGACGAAAACTGCCGCCCATTTTCGCGGTTCAGAACGGACAACCCCCCTCCTCGGGGTCGACGACCCCACGACGACCTCCGCGTGGAAAGCCCAGGCTATCTGGCTGGGCCAGGTGCTGGTGAGCCCTCGGGATGGTCGACCACCTGTCGACCTAGAGTTCCGCTGAGACAATCCCGAGAAGGACGTCTCAGCCGCGTGTCAGAATACCAGCTCGGCAAGTCGGGCCGCGATGATCGCCACGCGGCCACAAAGGGACGCCCGAGATAGTCCCCTGGATGGCGGGGCCACCTAGGTCTGCCAGGTTGGACACGACGGGCCAACGGAAGGTCGGGGTGCTTCGCTTGGGAGAATCTCGCGCATGAACGTGGCAATGTCGGTGCATACCACACGGCATTCATCCAACGGTTGCTCACATGCGCAAGGAGAAATCCGGCCGTCCACTATCTATGGCTACGTGCAGTGGACACTGATGATGCGGGACCTGTCGGCGTCGACCAGAAGAGCATCATCGTTGTGCCACACGGCAGTGTCTCCCGACCTCGACCTACCGAGGTGCACCTAATTCGGGACCACGCCACGTTGCCGCACGAAAGAGCCAGCGTGTAGCAGCCACGAAAAGAGCATGATGAGCGAAGCGCTTCAAGCAAGCAGCCATGCACGCCTGGTGGCACGTCGGACACGGCGCCGCCGCACGAGCGCACATGCATGGCGGCGTCGTGCACTGGGGTTTGCGTGGAGCGCCAAGTGGTGCGGAGTCGCTCACGACCATCCCCATCCGTGGTCCCCGAAATGGTCGCTCATTCCGCCTGCCATTGTGTGTGCCATTGCTTCTTTTTTTTACCACTGACTTGACGGCCGGCACTTTGATTTTCTCTAGAGGCGTAACGTCGGCGTCGTGATAGTAGGCAGACGTGGTCGCCGACCTCTCGTAGGATTGTCTGCTATCCCGACCTGCCAGATACCGCCGACATAGAATACGCATTAAGTAGTTTATCGACCTCACCACGCCGACTTCCTATCGCCCTAGGTCGCGGTATCATGGCCAGAGGACAGCCTCGTTCGACACCGCCGCAAACCAACCCACCCCCCGCCGATGTCGACATGACGGACGTCATGAACCCCGCTAGCCAGGATGAGAACGTCCGCCCGGTAGACCGTACACCGACCAGTAACCCCTCGTCGACTTTGCCGCTGCTTTACGATCTCGACGCCCTGGCCCAAATCCCGCAGGGAGAGTTCACCAAGGACGTTCCGCCCGCGCCGATAGGGGAGTTCACGAAACCACGCAAAACGTCGACGCCGACGGATGCAGGGGAGGCCGGGCCGTCGTCTGTGCCGGACGGATCGGGCGACCAGGATGAGGACGATTATTCATCGGCGAGCGACGAGGACGACGAAGACGACCCGCGGCCCCGACGTGGTGCAGGTCCGCGCACGTTGGAAGAAAAACTCAGGGGGGAACGTGCGTTCATAGAGGAATTGTTGGACGAGAACGAGCTTGAGGATCTGCTGCACACGTCGGTCCCTCGAGAAATGTGGAAGGCGGCCGACTTCGTAGAGGAAGATATGGTGTACGCGTGCGTCGACGTGCTCGTGATGGAGGGAATGCGCCACCTGAAAACCATAGAGGCCAAGAGCACGCTCAAGTCCTACACCTCATGGATATACGACTACAAAAGGTGGACGGCGAAGATGCTTAAAAAAATTGGCGACAAACTGCCGACAGCAGAACAAATGAGGCACGTCGACGAGATAGGGCACTGGACACACAACAACAAGAGCAAGGATTGGGACAACGAGAAGGTGGTCAAGCGGAAGCACATATGGCTGCACGGCCCCCGGGTCACTAGTACGCGACTGCGCGCCTACATCAAGTTCATGAGGCGGGAGTACAGGATCGACGCCGACACGAACGAGCCAGTGCGAGCCTACACGGTGCACATGATCCTCGGCCGCATCAAGGCCTGCCAGATGGCGGCGAGGGTGGAGGCGACGCTCTTCAAGGAGAAGGAGTTGGGCATCATGCGGGAAATCTCGGTGGTCCGGTCGGAGGTGCGGGTCATGGTCCGCACGAAAAATCAGAGGGACCTCGAGTAAGTTGGCATGCATCGCCGTGTTATGTCGCCATCGATTTGTTTCCTCGCCCTAATATTCATATCCATATATTGTTATGTCGACAGTAAATGCGCCGACCGTCGACGCGGCACCATCGGCGACACATACACCGCCGAACAGTTCCGCCAGATAATGACGAGGGTGCTGCCGGCTTGGGCGGCGTCGGCATGGAGCCCGCATTTCACCACACCTTCGCAGACGCTGTGGAGGTTTCTTCTCATCAAGGTGCTCACGCTGCTCTCCCACCACAGCCTCATGCGCGGTGCAAGCATACGCGAGATAACGCTCCCCGACATCTTCCTGTACCGACTGGCGAGCACCTCGTCGGTGAACCCGGATAACCAGCCGGTCGTCATGGTGGTCGCCGCGCGGAACTCGAAGACGTCGAAGGATGCGCGTCTTCAACAGAGCTACGCGGCGCGGCACCTAGAAGCGGAGTTGTGCGCCGTCGGCGAGACCGGGCTGTGGTTACACTTCGTCCTCGACCAGATCGGCCAGTTTCACGGAGTCGACCTCATTCCGCCGGTCGACACCAGCACACGCGAGCTCTGGTACAAGAAGCACCTGTTCTTCGCCCGCAACGACCCCGAGCAGGGCGAACTCTCAGCTCCCAGCCACCAGCGATGGACGAGGCAGATGTGGAAGACGAACGGGGTGTTCTGCAAGCGGAACGTCCATGCCGCTCGGGCGGGCGGGGCGCAGGAGTTGGCCATCCAAGGTACGCCTCGCGCCGAGATAGCCGAGCTGGGTCACTGGGCTCTCGACAAGATGACTCGAGCCTACATCACGTCCATTCCCGTCGGCGTGGTGATGAAGAAGGCCGGCTATTCGGGATTCACGCAGGACTACTTCTTGGGTCGCAGTAGGGTGGAACCGGGAGACGAACTCCTCGCTCTCATCGCCGAGCACATCTTCCCCGACGTCGACGACCTCCTCAACAAGGTTTGTTTATCGGTGCCGACCAATCTTGCATGGTACTGTCCTATCCACCATGGAGATAACCCCCGTCTGATGTCTAACTGCAGGCAGAAGAACTCGCGAAGAAGGGGTCCGACGCCGACGTTGCGGCCGTGCATTTCTGGCGCACCCTTCTGATGTTCCGCCGCATTGTCGCCGAGGACCTCGCGGTGAAACTCGTCCGCACCCCTTGGCACCCGTACATCCAGTATTCCAAGCTCTGCCGGATTCCCCTCTTCCAGCACTGGGCGAAGAGGGTCGAGAAGACCGACACCGACACCATAAAAAAGCGGCAAGATCCAACCCTCATCCAGCCAGAGGTATGTCATCTTTTATGCCGACGTCGCGATGTTATCTATGACCGCTACAACCCCTCATCTGCACCGTTATTCGCATACCATTGCAGGAGATATCGGTCCGCCATGACGCCCAGTTCGCGGTCGTCTCCCTCACGGAGACGCTTAAGCTCGAGAGGGAGCGGTCAACGGTCCAGAAGCTCGACCTCGAGGAGAAGATCGAGAATCGCGACGCAACCATCGCGTCGCTCGCGGCCGAGATAACACGCCTCACCGAGGCTCTCCGCGTTTCAGAAGCTCGAAGGATGCCGGAGGCGCCGCCAGCTGCTAACGACCAGTCGCCGAGCGACGGTGGCTCCGCGGAGTCGGCAAGCAGGGGTGGAGGAGCCAACAAACCCAATAAACCCCCACAGACGGTCGAGGAGGCTAGCTACGAGCTGAACGTAGTGCAGCCTTGGCGGACTGCAACGACCGTCAAGGACGCGTGGCGCCTCTGGACCTCGTGCACCAGCGCCGACACCCGTCGTCTGTGCGACAGGTTCAGGGAGCCGGGATTCGTCGACCGCCACACCCTCCTCGACGGAGCCTCGCAGGGAGCACACGGGAAGAGGGTGCGCCGCATGATGAAGGTCATCGATGCGGTGCGCCAGCTTCGCAGGAGCGACGGCGAAGCCGACACGGAAGCCACCGTCGACGCGCTTAACAAGATAGCGGCGCCTGGCATTGGGACCTTCGCGGATGCCCTCACGGTGCTCAACGCGGACGCCGTAGCGACCTATGCTGGGCAGGGTAAGGGCGTCAAAGGGCTCGGCAAGACGGAATTTTCCAAGCTTCGTGTCGCCTGTGCGTTCGTGGCGCGCGGGCTCAAGCCCGAAACGTGGGTCGCCGACCTGTTCCCGGACACCTGGGTTGAGCAGATGAAGAAGACGTTGGCCGACCTGGCCCGCGAAAACGACGCCGGGCAGCTGCCTCCGACCAATAAGTCTACCAAGCGCAAGAAAACCGCTTGAATGTTCCCAGGCCTCCTGCTACTGTGGCCTGTTGCATGTTGTAGATGTTGATGCAGCATGCCTATGTTTCATACTGATACTGATGTCGACTTTTTGTTTCTCTCAATGATCCTGTTGTTCTCGGCCTAGCGGGGCATTCACGTGTCGTTCAAACTGAAGTAGACAATCATTACTAGCTAATGTGTTCATTACTCATCCTACGTAAAGTAGACAGGCACGCACAAAAAAAAACACAAACAAAGAGCATCAAAGGGATCCGACAGCCAAAACAAGGAAAACGGTATCGACCATTTCATCATCGAGTCCACGCAGCACTCAATCTTAGCATGCCGTCGACTAGGCCGTCGTGCTGTCCTTCTTCGACTTCTTGACCTTCTCCGTGCCGCCCTTGGTCTTCGTCCCCTTCTTGCCCCTCAGACCCTTCCTCCCCCTGTTGTCAAGATCGGCCTTCATCTGCGCGTCAATCGGCACCGCGATGTCCCTCGCTCTTAGTTTCGGCCCGGCGACGGGGCACATTCCCCAAAACGCCATCGTCTCAACCGTCGCTCTAGCGATAACGTCGGCATCTACTCCAGCATTCCCCCCCGGATATACCGTATCAAGGGCGGTCCTCTGGAGTGCTGGCGCGACGTTGTAGGCAACCTCTCCCAAGGGGCGGTCCCTGTTCATCTCGGCTTTCAGCACCGCCTCCATGACTTTTCCGAATACATCGGCGGTCGCCTGGCTCGCTCCGCCGATGATCGCCGCCGACTTCCCTTCTTCCACAGCATCCGCCAGCTGGGCATCGCCGTTCTCGACGAAGCACCACACAGCGCATGCGGATGCTGCTAACGCCCATGCCGCCATATCCGTCTTCTCCTCCTTGTCTCCCTCCTTCATCGCCGCTGCCGCAGCGGTCTTCCCATATGCAGCGCACATTGACACGCGGCCTATCATCGCCGACATCATGGACGCCGACTTCTCCCGGCCTTCCTCGGTGCTAGCATCGACTGGGTACCATATCGCTGGCAGGAGCGCGGCGTGGAGAGAATCGCCTGTGGACTTGTAATGGCGATACGCGTCGAGGATCTCCGTCAGCCTGTCACGCCACCACAAACAGGGCGAACATGAGTGACAACGACAACGACATCGACTTTGAATCGGAGGATTGCCGACTTACCGTGTCTTTGGAAGGAGCGTACCCCGGGCCCACATCACCGTCCACATCCCTGTCGGCAAGATCCTGACCTCCTCCCACACCTCCTTCCACCTCTCCAATTCGGCGCTGTCCAAGCCGGTGAGCTCGGTCATGAGCACCTTGCTCACGAAACCGTCGTAGACGACGTACGCGATGGAGTGAACGTACGCGAGCTCCATCTTGTCCCGCGACTTGCCGATGTATCGATTGATGCCGTGCACCTTAATCTCGCCGACCCACCCTTGCTTGTCGCCCGAGGTATCGTGTCGGATGCCATGACCCCTCCTCTCCTTGCCCTTCCCCTCCTCCTCCTCCTCCTCCTCCTCCTCTTCCTCCTGCTCGACCTCCTCCACCTCCTCGACATCCTCATCCTCCTCCTCCGCCTTCCTCTTTCCCTTTCTCCCCTTCGAGGAACCCTCGCCGACCGCCTTCTCCTTCCCCTTTCTCCCGGTCGACGCACCTTCTCCGACCGACTTGTCCTTCCCCTTCCTCCCCGTCGACGTACCCTCGCCGGGCGACTTCTGATTCTCCCCTTTCCCTTCAACCTCCCCAATGCCGCCTCGATCTTTGTCCGCCGCCGTCTCCGCCGCCATCCCCTTCTGTTTATCCGCCGCCTTCACCTCCGACTTCTCCCGCGTCTTCCTCTGTGAGCCCGCCTTCCCCTTCCGTTTCGACTTTCCCTCACCGACCGCATCACCGGTCGCACTAGGCTCTGCCGCGATGCCGACGAGTCCCGCCGAAGGCTCCACATGTTCCGTGTCGGAGATGGCCAGGGTTCGGGGATTGGCTGCATCCAGATGGGCCTGTATGGCAGCGATATCAGCGTCTGCGGGGACCTCCTCAACGGCGCCGCCGCCGGTGGCAAGCGCGGCACGAACGCCCTTCTCCGCCGCCTTCTCCACATCAGCTGCCACATGGGTGGGTGGTGCGACATTCGCCGACGACGGCTTAGAGCCAGAGCCAGAAGCCTGCTGAGTCCTCTCAGTCGACGCTAGTGCGCCCAGCTGGGCGCGCAACAACGCGGACTTTGGGTCTGCAGGAGTACGGGCGGCGACGACCGGCACTACACGTGGCCCACTGGCCGATGGGACGTCGACAGCAGGGGGGGCCTGTTGAACAGCCCTGTGGCCGGCTAGGAGCCTGAGCTGCTCCTTGAGCGCGTCCGCAACTGCCGCCCCTTTTCCCGCGCGGCCAACCTTGTCGGCAGACGGTACGTCGGCATGGCGCGGGACGTCGGTAGGTCGCCCGGCAGACGGTCCGGTCGGATGGCGTGCACCCGCGGGAGACTGGTGAGGAACCGCTGACGCCTCCGCAACCCCTGTCTTCGGGCCCTGGCCAGCTTTCGCGGACCCGCCAGGGGCCGTTTTGGCGGCGGCCTTCTCCTTGTCGCGCAGGCCTTTCACACCGCTACCCTGTCGTGGTGGCTTAACGCCGACCGAAGGCGGAGCCATTGGCAGTGCGTCATCAGTGGCATGCTCGTCGGCGGGACCCCCACCACCATGGCCCGTGCTGGCCGCTCCAACCTGAGCCCAGTGCTTCCTGAGGATGTCGACCACGCTCTTCCCCGACTGCTTCAACGAACTGCCGTCGCCGGCTCCCATGCTCCCACCGCCGCCAGACCCCCCGCCTCCCTTGCTCCGCTTCGTGTTCGCCGAATTGTCCCCGTCGCCCCCCCCGCCGCCTCCCTGCCTCTTGTGACCCAGCTTCAAGCCCTCCGTAGGTTGCGCTTGGCCGGCGTCGTTTGCCGACGGCGACGACCCACGCCGAGCATACGCCACCGTGCCGACGACCTCGGCCATTATCTTCAGTCCGGAGGCGAGGAAGGACTGCTGCGTGGTCTCCGTCACCGCCTTCAGCACGTCCTCCTTGAAAGACTTCAGGAAATCTTCCGGCAAGGCCTGCGCTGGGCCGGTAGGCGGCGGCGGCGGCTGGACTAGGCGGGGCGCGACGGCGGCGGCAATGTTGGTCTGCGCGGCGCCGATGTATTTGATGAACGACTCCTCCAACCCCTTCCTCGCCTCGCCCACCTCCGCCGTCACGTGCTCGGTCACTGTCTTCACCGCGGTCGCGCGTGCGACCGCCGCTCGTCCCTTGGGGTCGTCAAGATCCAGCAGCGTCTGCCTCGCTAGCTCGGCGAAGGACTTGGCCGATTGAATGGCGCTGTCCATGTTGTCGGTGAGGCCCTCGGTGATTGTGGTCGCCATGGTCGACGTGGCCTCTTTGAGGCGCTCCTCCGATTTCCGGTCGGTGTCGGCGACCTGGGCGGTCAAACCCTTCAACTTCTCGAGGAGCCCAGCTAATGCCGCCGCCAAGCTGTCGACCCGCCCCGTCTGCTCACCGAGCCGCCGTTCAAGGAGTGCATTGTCTGCACGCAATCGCCTGTTCTCCGCCCTCAGCTGATCGACGACGTCCAGCCGCGCCTGCCGCCCAGCCGCGGTGGAACCGGGATGACCGCTCGCCGCCTTCTTCCTCCTAGACCGCTCCCCGCCGGCCTTCTCCGCGGTGGCATCGGTATGCACATCCACGCCCCTCTGCTCCGGGACCGCGGCGTTATCCCCTTCACCGACCTCGACCATGCCACCACCTCCGTGAGCCGCCTCCACGCCGACCTCGCCGATATTCGCTGTCGCACCCTTCCCCTCCCCTTCGTCGTTCTCGACATCCGCCGATCTCCCACCCGTTTCCTCCGCTCCTCCGACAACGTACCCCTCCGCTCCTCCGACAACGTACCCCTCCGCCATTTCCACGTCCTCCACCTCTACCAACTGCTCCTCCTGGTGCTGCCTCTCGTGCTCCTGCGTCTCCTGCTCCTGCTCCTCCTCCGACTCCGACTCCGAGCCCGATCCCGACCCCGACCTCGACCCCGACATCGACCCCGACGACTCCTCCAAGCCCCCCTCACCCTCACGTTCCTCCTCGCGATCCTGGACCCCATCATCATCCCCGTGAACAACCTCGGTCCCGGTCACCCCCTTTCCTGCGGCCGCATCGGCCTCGTCGACGCCGACTCCCGACTTGCCACGCGCATCAGCGACGTTCGGGGCGACCCCTACTGGTACGGATGCAGAATGGACTTCCTCGCCGTCGTCGTCACAGGCGTCGGCAGCAACAACGGTTTTCCCCGACCGTATGAGCGGGACTTGCTTCTTGATGAGGGCTACCATCTCGTTCCGCAGCGCCTTCAACCCCGAGACGGTGGGCTTGTCCATGCTGGTGGCAATGCGACGGAGGTCGCCGGTCAGGCGCTGGAACCGCCTCACAACCCAGATCAACGCGCTCATTGCTAGCAGGCCGGAGCCCGCGTCCGAGTCCCGGACGGTATCGGGAACTTTCTGCATACAACAGTGCAGAGAGCAAGGATGAGGGCGGCGTAGATGTGACACCATATGACGGCGAATCGTCCGTAACTCACATCTCGAAGGGGTTCGTCGCAGTCGGCGAGCCTCTCCTGCACCTCGTCTTCGGACGGCTTCGCCCACTCCCATTTCCTACCCTCGCGCCGCAGCTCGGCCAGAACAGCGGTCCGGAAAAACCTGCAAAAGCACGGCAAGGACGGTCGGTTAGCACGGTGCACGCGTCGTGTCGACAATGTATGCGATGTCGACTAAACTATCGAGCTCACTTCAGCACGCGGATCGCCTCGTCGCGGTGCCACTCCTTCACTGTCTGCGGGTCGGCGTGCCGGATCGAGGTCCTGACCTCCTGCCCCGAGGCATTGAACAAATCGCCGGGGCACAGGATGAGAACGACGCTGCAATGTGCTCCCGGAAGCGGTGCGATGCTGCACAGACAAGGCACGTCGATGGCGCTCAAAACAAATCACCGACACAGGTTGCAGCACACAGCAGGACCTCGAACCTGCTCACCTCGATATCAGTGGGATAACCGCCACGTCGGCGTCGAAAATCGTCGCAAAGCATGTGTGGTCGTCCTGACCCATCGCCGCCCGAAGCCGGCCGACTCCTATCGACCACAATCGCTCGCCTGCATCCGTTGAGCGGATCCATGTGTGCCTGCACGCATGCATGATTACAACAGATTAGAGAGGTATAGGTGCGCGGCACGACGGTGGAATGACGGGAGCCGAACGACTTCGGCACAACTCAGCGTCGTCGACGACCTAACGCATTACGTCGGCATCACCGATGTGATGTGCCTGAACTCTAAGCCCGTCGACATATACTACTGGACGCATTGAAACCCCGCCATGGCCGACCAGCATGGAATAGGCCCGTCGACGACGACATCTCAATAAGACACTCACTTGAGACCGAGTCCCAAGCAACGGGCGTTAAACTCTAGCATAGGGTTTGTCAGAACGGCGTAGTCGTGCTCTTCGAACTTGGCCGTGTGTCCTCTACCGATGTCTAGATGCAGGGGGAAATCTAGCGAGGTCGGCGCCGCTTCGGCGGCTTTCTGGCCGGCTGCCATGGCGGGAGAGCGAGGATGCTATGCTACAGGCTAAGGGAAGAAGCGGTGGGAGTATGGAAGGCGCCGAGGTGGGAGGAAAAATGAAAGAGAAACGAGAACGCGAAAATGAGGGGCCAGTCCACCTCCAACGAAGTAAAGCCAGGCGGAGCCACGCAGGCCCGGTTGAGCGTCGCCCAGGGGGCCGTGATGCCTGGCTCGGCAGGGCTCGTGCACAAGTTGCGTGGCACAAGTGCACCCTCGCCGCCGAGCCAACAGGTCGACGTCACGTGCCCCGGCCTCGGTCGGCCAGGGGACGCAACTTCGCGTGGGCGCGGTGCGACGTTTCGGCACCACGTGTCGATTTCGCAGAGGGTCGCGAAAGCCGTGCGCCCCGTGGCGAACGACCCAGGTTTTCGCTCGAGTTTCGGGGGGTACGAAATGTCTCATGCACGCGATGCGAAATGACGGGCGAGCACGTGGCGTCACCGCAACGGGTCGCGAAATAGTCGAGCGACCCGAGGGGAGCCCCCGATTTTCGCGTGGACCTCGCCTGCCCGTACGGGCAGGCCGCGATGGGTTACTAGGGCCTCGCGGGCACGAGGGAGGGGTGGGCTGCCTTCGCGGCAGGGTTACTTCCCCTCGCCCGAGGTCTCGCCAGCTCGCCGCCCCCACCCGGTAACGTGGGTCGCTGTTCACTCTCGGGGGGGGGGGTTGCGGGGCGGCGGTCGTGCGCCCGGCCCAGCCCAGGGCCAGGCTGGCGGGCCCGCACGCGCGTCACTCGCCCGCCTCGTCAGACCCCTGTCCGTCGACCCCCCTCGTCGACCCTGGCAACTCGATTCCGTCGACCTCATTCCGCTGGGATCTTCAGCATAATATAGCTCAGCCGACGAAAACTGCCGCCCATTTTCGCGGTTCAGAACGGACAACCCCCCTCCTCGGGGTCGACGACCCCACGACGACCTCCGCGTGGAAAGCCCAGGCTATCTGGCTGGGCCAGGTGCTGGTGAGCCCTCGGGATGGTCGACCACCTGTCGACCTAGAGTTCCGCTGAGACAATCCCGAGAAGGACGTCTCAGCCGCGTGTCAGAATACCAGCTCGGCAAGTCGGGCCGCGATGATCGCCACGCGGCCACAAAGGGACGCCCGAGATAGTCCCCTGGATGGCGGGGCCACCTAGGTCTGCCAGGTTGGACACGACGGGCCAACGGAAGGTCGGGGTGCTTCGCTTGGGAGAATCTCGCGCATGAACGTGGCAATGTCGGTGCATACCACACGGCATTCATCCAACGGTTGCTCACATGCGCAAGGAGAAATCCGGCCGTCCACTATCTATGGCTACGTGCAGTGGACACTGATGATGCGGGACCTGTCGGCGTCGACCAGAAGAGCATCATCGTTGTGCCACACGGCAGTGTCTCCCGACCTCGACCTACCGAGGTGCACCTAATTCGGGACCACGCCACGTTGCCGCACGAAAGAGCCAGCGTGTAGCAGCCACGAAAAGAGCATGATGAGCGAAGCGCTTCAAGCAAGCAGCCATGCACGCCTGGTGGCACGTCGGACACGGCGCCGCCGCACGAGCGTACATGCATGGCGGCGTCGTGCACTGGGGTTTGCGTGGAGCGCCAAGTGGTGCGGAGTCGCTCACGACCATCCCCATCCGTGGTCCCCGAAATGGTCGCTCATTCCGCCTGCCATTGTGTGTGCCATTGCTTCTTTTTTTTACCACTGACTTGACGGCCGGCACTTTGATTTTCTCTAGAGGCGTAACGTCGGCGTCGTGATAGTAGGCAGACGTGGTCGCCGACCTCTCGTAGGATTGTCTGCTGTCCCGACCTGCCAGATACCGCCGACATAGAATACGCATTAAGTAGTTTATCGACCTCACCACGCCGACTTCCTATCGCCCTAGGTCGCGGTATCATGGCCAGAGGACAGCCTCGTTCGACACCGCCGCAAACCAACCCACCCCCCGCCGATGTCGACATGACGGACGTCATGAACCCCGCTAGCCAGGATGAGAACGTCCGCCCGGTAGACCGTACACCGACCAGTAACCCCTCGTCGACTTTGCCGCTGCTTTACGATCTCGACGCCCTGGCCCAAATCCCGCAGGGAGAGTTCACCAAGGACGTTCCGCCCGCGCCGATAGGGGAGTTCACGAAACCACGCAAAACGTCGACGCCGACGGATGCAGGGGAGGCCGGGCCGTCGTCTGTGCTGGACGGATCGGGCGACCAGGATGAGGACGATTATTCATCGGCGAGCGACGAGGACGACGAAGACGACCCGCGGCCCCGACGTGGTGCAGGTCCGCGCACGTTGGAAGAAAAACTCAGGGGGGAACGTGCGTTCATAGAGGAATTGTTGGACGAGAACGAGCTTGAGGATCTGCTGCACACGTCGGTCCCTCGAGAAATGTGGAAGGCGGCCGACTTCGTAGAGGAAGATATGGTGTACGCGTGCGTCGACGTGCTCGTGATGGAGGGAATGCGCCACCTGAAAACCATAGAGGCCAAGAGCACGCTCAAGTCCTACACCTCATGGATATACGACTACAAAAGGTGGACGGCGAAGATGCTTAAAAAAATTGGCGACAAACTGCCGACAGCAGAACAAATGAGGCACGTCGACGAGATAGGGCACTGGACACACAACAACAAGAGCAAGGATTGGGACAACGAGAAGGTGGTCAAGCGGAAGCACATATGGCTGCACGGCCCCCGGGTCACTAGTACGCGACTGCGCGCCTACATCAAGTTCATGAGGCGGGAGTACAGGATCGACGCCGACACGAACGAGCCAGTGCGAGCCTACACGGTGCACATGATCCTCGGCCGCATCAAGGCCTGCCAGATGGCGGCGAGGGTGGAGGCGACGCTCTTCAAGGAGAAGGAGTTGGGCATCATGCGGGAAATCTCGGTGGTCCGGTCGGAGGTGCGGGTCATGGTCCGCACGAAAAATCAGAGGGACCTCGAGTAAGTTGGCATGCATCGCCGTGTTATGTCGCCATCGATTTGTTTCCTCGCCCTAATATTCATATCCATATATTGTTATGTCGACAGTAAATGCGCCGACCGTCGACGCGGCACCATCGGCGACACATACACCGCCGAACAGTTCCGCCAGATAATGACGAGGGTGCTGCCGGCTTGGGCGGCGTCGGCATGGAGCCCGCATTTCACCACACCTTCGCAGACGCTGTGGAGGTTTCTTCTCATCAAGGTGCTCACGCTGCTCTCCCACCACAGCCTCATGCGCGGTGCAAGCATACGCGAGATAACGCTCCCCGACATCTTCCTGTACCGACTGGCGAGCACCTCGTCGGTGAACCCGGATAACCAGCCGGTCGTCATGGTGGTCGCCGCGCGGAACTCGAAGACGTCGAAGGATGCGCGTCTTCAACAGAGCTACGCGGCGCGGCACCTAGAAGCGGAGTTGTGCGCCGTCGGCGAGACCGGGCTGTGGTTACACTTCGTCCTCGACCAGATCGGCCAGTTTCACGGAGTCGACCTCATTCCGCCGGTCGACACCAGCACACGCGAGCTCTGGTACAAGAAGCACCTGTTCTTCGCCCGCAACGACCCCGAGCAGGGCGAACTCTCAGCTCCCAGCCACCAGCGATGGACGAGGCAGATGTGGAAGACGAACGGGGTGTTCTGCAAGCGGAACGTCCATGCCGCTCGGGCGGGCGGGGCGCAGGAGTTGGCCATCCAAGGTACGCCTCGCGCCGAGATAGCCGAGCTGGGTCACTGGGCTCTCGACAAGATGACTCGAGCCTACATCACGTCCATTCCCGTCGGCGTGGTGATGAAGAAGGCCGGCTATTCGGGATTCACGCAGGACTACTTCTTGGGTCGCAGTAGGGTGGAACCGGGAGACGAACTCCTCGCTCTCATCGCCGAGCACATCTTCCCCGACGTCGACGACCTCCTCAACAAGGTTTGTTTATCGGTGCCGACCAATCTTGCATGGTACTGTCCTATCCACCATGGAGATAACCCCCGTCTGATGTCTAACTGCAGGCAGAAGAACTCGCGAAGAAGGGGTCCGACGCCGACGTTGCGGCCGTGCATTTCTGGCGCACCCTTCTGATGTTCCGCCGCATTGTCGCCGAGGACCTCGCGGTGAAACTCGTCCGCACCCCTTGGCACCCGTACATCCAGTATTCCAAGCTCTGCCGGATTCCCCTCTTCCAGCACTGGGCGAAGAGGGTCGAGAAGACCGACACCGACACCATAAAAAAGCGGCAAGATCCAACCCTCATCCAGCCAGAGGTATGTCATCTTTTATGCCGACGTCGCGATGTTATCTATGACCGCTACAACCCCTCATCTGCACCGTTATTCGCATACCATTGCAGGAGATATCGGTCCGCCATGACGCCCAGTTCGCGGTCGTCTCCCTCACGGAGACGCTTAAGCTCGAGAGGGAGCGGTCAACGGTCCAGAAGCTCGACCTCGAGGAGAAGATCGAGAATCGCGACGCAACCATCGCGTCGCTCGCGGCCGAGATAACACGCCTCACCGAGGCTCTCCGCGTTTCAGAAGCTCGAAGGATGCCGGAGGCGCCGCCAGCTGCTAACGACCAGTCGCCGAGCGACGGTGGCTCCGCGGAGTCGGCAAGCAGGGGTGGAGGAGCCAACAAACCCAATAAACCCCCACAGACGGTCGAGGAGGCTAGCTACGAGCTGAACGTAGTGCAGCCTTGGCGGACTGCAACGACCGTCAAGGACGCGTGGCGCCTCTGGACCTCGTGCACCAGCGCCGACACCCGTCGTCTGTGCGACAGGTTCAGGGAGCCGGGATTCGTCGACCGCCACACCCTCCTCGACGGAGCCTCGCAGGGAGCACACGGGAAGAGGGTGCGCCGCATGATGAAGGTCATCGATGCGGTGCGCCAGCTTCGCAGGAGCGACGGCGAAGCCGACACGGAAGCCACCGTCGACGCGCTTAACAAGATAGCGGCGCCTGGCATTGGGACCTTCGCGGATGCCCTCACGGTGCTCAACGCGGACGCCGTAGCGACCTATGCTGGGCAGGGTAAGGGCGTCAAAGGGCTCGGCAAGACGGAATTTTCCAAGCTTCGTGTCGCCTGTGCGTTCGTGGCGCGCGGGCTCAAGCCCGAAACGTGGGTCGCCGACCTGTTCCCGGACACCTGGGTTGAGCAGATGAAGAAGACGTTGGCCGACCTGGCCCGCGAAAACGACGCCGGGCAGCTGCCTCCGACCAATAAGTCTACCAAGCGCAAGAAAACCGCTTGAATGTTCCCAGGCCTCCTGCTACTGTGGCCTGTTGCATGTTGTAGATGTTGATGCAGCATGCCTATGTTTCATACTGATACTGATGTCGACTTTTTGTTTCTCTCAATGATCCTGTTGTTCTCGGCCTAGCGGGGCATTCACGTGTCGTTCAAACTGAAGTAGACAATCATTACTAGCTAATGTGTTCATTACTCATCCTACGTAAAGTAGACAGGCACGCACAAAAAAAAACACAAACAAAGAGCATCAAAGGGATCCGACAGCCAAAACAAGGAAAACGGTATCGACCATTTCATCATCGAGTCCACGCAGCACTCAATCTTAGCATGCCGTCGACTAGGCCGTCGTGCTGTCCTTCTTCGACTTCTTGACCTTCTCCGTGCCGCCCTTGGTCTTCGTCCCCTTCTTGCCCCTCAGACCCTTCCTCCCCCTGTTGTCAAGATCGGCCTTCATCTGCGCGTCAATCGGCACCGCGATGTCCCTCGCTCTTAGTTTCGGCCCGGCGACGGGGCACATTCCCCAAAACGCCATCGTCTCAACCGTCGCTCTAGCGATAACGTCGGCATCTACTCCAGCATTCCCCCCCGGATATACCGTATCAAGGGCGGTCCTCTGGAGTGCTGGCGCGACGTTGTAGGCAACCTCTCCCAAGGGGCGGTCCCTGTTCATCTCGGCTTTCAGCACCGCCTCCATGACTTTTCCGAATACATCGGCGGTCGCCTGGCTCGCTCCGCCGATGATCGCCGCCGACTTCCCTTCTTCCACAGCATCCGCCAGCTGGGCATCGCCGTTCTCGACGAAGCACCACACAGCGCATGCGGATGCTGCTAACGCCCATGCCGCCATATCCGTCTTCTCCTCCTTGTCTCCCTCCTTCATCGCCGCTGCCGCAGCGGTCTTCCCATATGCAGCGCACATTGACACGCGGCCTATCATCGCCGACATCATGGACGCCGACTTCTCCCGGCCTTCCTCGGTGCTAGCATCGACTGGGTACCATATCGCTGGCAGGAGCGCGGCGTGGAGAGAATCGCCTGTGGACTTGTAATGGCGATACGCGTCGAGGATCTCCGTCAGCCTGTCACGCCACCACAAACAGGGCGAACATGAGTGACAACGACAACGACATCGACTTTGAATCGGAGGATTGCCGACTTACCGTGTCTTTGGAAGGAGCGTACCCCGGGCCCACATCACCGTCCACATCCCTGTCGGCAAGATCCTGACCTCCTCCCACACCTCCTTCCACCTCTCCAATTCGGCGCTGTCCAAGCCGGTGAGCTCGGTCATGAGCACCTTGCTCACGAAACCGTCGTAGACGACGTACGCGATGGAGTGAACGTACGCGAGCTCCATCTTGTCCCGCGACTTGCCGATGTATCGATTGATGCCGTGCACCTTAATCTCGCCGACCCACCCTTGCTTGTCGCCCGAGGTATCGTGTCGGATGCCATGACCCCTCCTCTCCTTGCCCTTCCCCTCCTCCTCCTCCTCCTCCTCCTCCTCTTCCTCCTGCTCGACCTCCTCCACCTCCTCGACATCCTCATCCTCCTCCTCCGCCTTCCTCTTTCCCTTTCTCCCCTTCGAGGAACCCTCGCCGACCGCCTTCTCCTTCCCCTTTCTCCCGGTCGACGCACCTTCTCCGACCGACTTGTCCTTCCCCTTCCTCCCCGTCGACGTACCCTCGCCGGGCGACTTCTGATTCTCCCCTTTCCCTTCAACCTCCCCAATGCCGCCTCGATCTTTGTCCGCCGCCGTCTCCGCCGCCATCCCCTTCTGTTTATCCGCCGCCTTCACCTCCGACTTCTCCCGCGTCTTCCTCTGTGAGCCCGCCTTCCCCTTCCGTTTCGACTTTCCCTCACCGACCGCATCACCGGTCGCACTAGGCTCTGCCGCGATGCCGACGAGTCCCGCCGAAGGCTCCACATGTTCCGTGTCGGAGATGGCCAGGGTTCGGGGATTGGCTGCATCCAGATGGGCCTGTATGGCAGCGATATCAGCGTCTGCGGGGACCTCCTCAACGGCGCCGCCGCCGGTGGCAAGCGCGGCACGAACGCCCTTCTCCGCCGCCTTCTCCACATCAGCTGCCACATGGGTGGGTGGTGCGACATTCGCCGACGACGGCTTAGAGCCAGAGCCAGAAGCCTGCTGAGTCCTCTCAGTCGACGCTAGTGCGCCCAGCTGGGCGCGCAACAACGCGGACTTTGGGTCTGCAGGAGTACGGGCGGCGACGACCGGCACTACACGTGGCCCACTGGCCGATGGGACGTCGACAGCAGGGGGGGCCTGTTGAACAGCCCTGTGGCCGGCTAGGAGCCTGAGCTGCTCCTTGAGCGCGTCCGCAACTGCCGCCCCTTTTCCCGCGCGGCCAACCTTGTCGGCAGACGGTACGTCGGCATGGCGCGGGACGTCGGTAGGTCGCCCGGCAGACGGTCCGGTCGGATGGCGTGCACCCGCGGGAGACTGGTGAGGAACCGCTGACGCCTCCGCAACCCCTGTCTTCGGGCCCTGGCCAGCTTTCGCGGACCCGCCAGGGGCCGTTTTGGCGGCGGCCTTCTCCTTGTCGCGCAGGCCTTTCACACCGCTACCCTGTCGTGGTGGCTTAACGCCGACCGAAGGCGGAGCCATTGGCAGTGCGTCATCAGTGGCATGCTCGTCGGCGGGACCCCCACCACCATGGCCCGTGCTGGCCGCTCCAACCTGAGCCCAGTGCTTCCTGAGGATGTCGACCACGCTCTTCCCCGACTGCTTCAACGAACTGCCGTCGCCGGCTCCCATGCTCCCACCGCCGCCAGACCCCCCGCCTCCCTTGCTCCGCTTCGTGTTCGCCGAATTGTCCCCGTCGCCCCCCCCCGCCGCCTCCCTGCCTCTTGTGACCCAGCTTCAAGCCCTCCGTAGGTTGCGCTTGGCCGGCGTCGTTTGCCGACGGCGACGACCCACGCCGAGCATACGCCACCGTGCCGACGACCTCGGCCATTATCTTCAGTCCGGAGGCGAGGAAGGACTGCTGCGTGGTCTCCGTCACCGCCTTCAGCACGTCCTCCTTGAAAGACTTCAGGAAATCTTCCGGCAAGGCCTGCGCTGGGCCGGTAGGCGGCGGCGGCGGCTGGACTAGGCGGGGCGCGACGGCGGCGGCAATGTTGGTCTGCGCGGCGCCGATGTATTTGATGAACGACTCCTCCAACCCCTTCCTCGCCTCGCCCACCTCCGCCGTCACGTGCTCGGTCACTGTCTTCACCGCGGTCGCGCGTGCGACCGCCGCTCGTCCCTTGGGGTCGTCAAGATCCAGCAGCGTCTGCCTCGCTAGCTCGGCGAAGGACTTGGCCGATTGAATGGCGCTGTCCATGTTGTCGGTGAGGCCCTCGGTGATTGTGGTCGCCATGGTCGACGTGGCCTCTTTGAGGCGCTCCTCCGATTTCCGGTCGGTGTCGGCGACCTGGGCGGTCAAACCCTTCAACTTCTCGAGGAGCCCAGCTAATGCCGCCGCCAAGCTGTCGACCCGCCCCGTCTGCTCACCGAGCCGCCGTTCAAGGAGTGCATTGTCTGCACGCAATCGCCTGTTCTCCGCCCTCAGCTGATCGACGACGTCCAGCCGCGCCTGCCGCCCAGCCGCGGTGGAACCGGGATGACCGCTCGCCGCCTTCTTCCTCCTAGACCGCTCCCCGCCGGCCTTCTCCGCGGTGGCATCGGTATGCACATCCACGCCCCTCTGCTCCGGGACCGCGGCGTTATCCCCTTCACCGACCTCGACCATGCCACCACCTCCGTGAGCCGCCTCCACGCCGACCTCGCCGATATTCGCTGTCGCACCCTTCCCCTCCCCTTCGTCGTTCTCGACATCCGCCGATCTCCCACCCGTTTCCTCCGCTCCTCCGACAACGTACCCCTCCGCTCCTCCGACAACGTACCCCTCCGCCATTTCCACGTCCTCCACCTCTACCAACTGCTCCTCCTGGTGCTGCCTCTCGTGCTCCTGCGTCTCCTGCTCCTGCTCCTCCTCCGACTCCGACTCCGAGCCCGATCCCGACCCCGACCTCGACCCCGACATCGACCCCGACGACTCCTCCAAGCCCCCCTCACCCTCACGTTCCTCCTCGCGATCCTGGACCCCATCATCATCCCCGTGAACAACCTCGGTCCCGGTCACCCCCTTTCCTGCGGCCGCATCGGCCTCGTCGACGCCGACTCCCGACTTGCCACGCGCATCAGCGACGTTCGGGGCGACCCCTACTGGTACGGATGCAGAATGGACTTCCTCGCCGTCGTCGTCACAGGCGTCGGCAGCAACAACGGTTTTCCCCGACCGTATGAGCGGGACTTGCTTCTTGATGAGGGCTACCATCTCGTTCCGCAGCGCCTTCAACCCCGAGACGGTGGGCTTGTCCATGCTGGTGGCAATGCGACGGAGGTCGCCGGTCAGGCGCTGGAACCGCCTCACAACCCAGATCAACGCGCTCATTGCTAGCAGGCCGGAGCCCGCGTCCGAGTCCCGGACGGTATCGGGAACTTTCTGCATACAACAGTGCAGAGAGCAAGGATGAGGGCGGCGTAGATGTGACACCATATGACGGCGAATCGTCCGTAACTCACATCTCGAAGGGGTTCGTCGCAGTCGGCGAGCCTCTCCTGCACCTCGTCTTCGGACGGCTTCGCCCACTCCCATTTCCTACCCTCGCGCCGCAGCTCGGCCAGAACAGCGGTCCGGAAAAACCTGCAAAAGCACGGCAAGGACGGTCGGTTAGCACGGTGCACGCGTCGTGTCGACAATGTATGCGATGTCGACTAAACTATCGAGCTCACTTCAGCACGCGGATCGCCTCGTCGCGGTGCCACTCCTTCACTGTCTGCGGGTCGGCGTGCCGGATCGAGGTCCTGACCTCCTGCCCCGAGGCATTGAACAAATCGCCGGGGCACAGGATGAGAACGACGCTGCAATGTGCTCCCGGAAGCGGTGCGATGCTGCACAGACAAGGCACGTCGATGGCGCTCAAAACAAATCACCGACACAGGTTGCAGCACACAGCAGGACCTCGAACCTGCTCACCTCGATATCAGTGGGATAACCGCCACGTCGGCGTCGAAAATCGTCGCAAAGCATGTGTGGTCGTCCTGACCCATCGCCGCCCGAAGCCGGCCGACTCCTATCGACCACAATCGCTCGCCTGCATCCGTTGAGCGGATCCATGTGTGCCTGCACGCATGCATGATTACAACAGATTAGAGAGGTATAGGTGCGCGGCACGACGGTGGAATGACGGGAGCCGAACGACTTCGGCACAACTCAGCGTCGTCGACGACCTAACGCATTACGTCGGCATCACCGATGTGATGTGCCTGAACTCTAAGCCCGTCGACATATACTACTGGACGCATTGAAACCCCGCCATGGCCGACCAGCATGGAATAGGCCCGTCGACGACGACATCTCAATAAGACACTCACTTGAGACCGAGTCCCAAGCAACGGGCGTTAAACTCTAGCATAGGGTTTGTCAGAACGGCGTAGTCGTGCTCTTCGAACTTGGCCGTGTGTCCTCTACCGATGTCTAGATGCAGGGGGAAATCTAGCGAGGTCGGCGCCGCTTCGGCGGCTTTCTGGCCGGCTGCCATGGCGGGAGAGCGAGGATGCTATGCTACAGGCTAAGGGAAGAAGCGGTGGGAGTATGGAAGGCGCCGAGGTGGGAGGAAAAATGAAAGAGAAACGAGAACGCGAAAATGAGGGGCCAGTCCACCTCCAACGAAGTAAAGCCAGGCGGAGCCACGCAGGCCCGGTTGAGCGTCGCCCAGGGGGCCGTGATGCCTGGCTCGGCAGGGCTCGTGCACAAGTTGCGTGGCACAAGTGCACCCTCGCCGCCGAGCCAACAGGTCGACGTCACGTGCCCCGGCCTCGGTCGGCCAGGGGACGCAACTTCGCGTGGGCGCGGTGCGACGTTTCGGCACCACGTGTCGATTTCGCAGAGGGTCGCGAAAGCCGTGCGCCCCGTGGCGAACGACCCAGGTTTTCGCTCGAGTTTCGGGGGGTACGAAATGTCTCATGCACGCGATGCGAAATGACGGGCGAGCACGTGGCGTCACCGCAACGGGTCGCGAAATAGTCGAGCGACCCGAGGGGAGCCCCCGATTTTCGCGTGGACCTCGCCTGCCCGTACGGGCAGGCCGCGATGGGTTACTAGGGCCTCGCGGGCACGAGGGAGGGGTGGGCTGCCTTCGCGGCAGGGTTACTTCCCCTCGCCCGAGGTCTCGCCAGCTCGCCGCCCCCACCCGGTAACGTGGGTCGCTGTTCACTCTCGGGGGGGGGGGTTGCGGGGCGGCGGTCGTGCGCCCGGCCCAGCCCAGGGCCAGGCTGGCGGGCCCGCACGCGCGTCACTCGCCCGCCTCGTCAGACCCCTGTCCGTCGACCCCCCTCGTCGACCCTGGCAACTCGATTCCGTCGACCTCATTCCGCTGGGATCTTCAGCATAATATAGCTCAGCCGACGAAAACTGCCGCCCATTTTCGCGGTTCAGAACGGACAACCCCCCTCCTCGGGGTCGACGACCCCACGACGACCTCCGCGTGGAAAGCCCAGGCTATCTGGCTGGGCCAGGTGCTGGTGAGCCCTCGGGATGGTCGACCACCTGTCGACCTAGAGTTCCGCTGAGACAATCCCGAGAAGGACGTCTCAGCCGCGTGTCAGAATACCAGCTCGGCAAGTCGGGCCGCGATGATCGCCACGCGGCCACAAAGGGACGCCCGAGATAGTCCCCTGGATGGCGGGGCCACCTAGGTCTGCCAGGTTGGACACGACGGGCCAACGGAAGGTCGGGGTGCTTCGCTTGGGAGAATCTCGCGCATGAACGTGGCAATGTCGGTGCATACCACACGGCATTCATCCAACGGTTGCTCACATGCGCAAGGAGAAATCCGGCCGTCCACTATCTATGGCTACGTGCAGTGGACACTGATGATGCGGGACCTGTCGGCGTCGACCAGAAGAGCATCATCGTTGTGCCACACGGCAGTGTCTCCCGACCTCGACCTACCGAGGTGCACCTAATTCGGGACCACGCCACGTTGCCGCACGAAAGAGCCAGCGTGTAGCAGCCACGAAAAGAGCATGATGAGCGAAGCGCTTCAAGCAAGCAGCCATGCACGCCTGGTGGCACGTCGGACACGGCGCCGCCGCACGAGCGTACATGCATGGCGGCATCGTGCACTGGGGTTTGCGTGGAGCGCCAAGTGGTGCGGAGTCGCTCACGACCATCCCCATCCGTGGTCCCCGAAATGGTCGCTCATTCCGCCTGCCATTGTGTGTGCCATTGCTTCTTTTTTTTACCACTGACTTGACGGCCGGCACTTTGATTTTCTCTAGAGGCGTAACGTCGGCGTCGTGATAGTAGGCAGACGTGGTCGCCGACCTCTCGTAGGATTGTCTGCTGTCCCGACCTGCCAGATACCGCCGACATAGAATACGCATTAAGTAGTTTATCGACCTCACCACGCCGACTTCCTATCGCCCTAGGTCGCGGTATCATGGCCAGAGGACAGCCTCGTTCGACACCGCCGCAAACCAACCCACCCCCCGCCGATGTCGACATGACGGACGTCATGAACCCCGCTAGCCAGGATGAGAACGTCCGCCCGGTAGACCGTACACCGACCAGTAACCCCTCGTCGACTTTGCCGCTGCTTTACGATCTCGACGCCCTGGCCCAAATCCCGCAGGGAGAGTTCACCAAGGACGTTCCGCCCGCGCCGATAGGGGAGTTCACGAAACCACGCAAAACGTCGACGCCGACGGATGCAGGGGAGGCCGGGCCGTCGTCTGTGCTGGACGGATCGGGCGACCAGGATGAGGACGATTATTCATCGGCGAGCGACGAGGACGACGAAGACGACCCGCGGCCCCGACGTGGTGCAGGTCCGCGCACGTTGGAAGAAAAACTCAGGGGGGAACGTGCGTTCATAGAGGAATTGTTGGACGAGAACGAGCTTGAGGATCTGCTGCACACGTCGGTCCCTCGAGAAATGTGGAAGGCGGCCGACTTCGTAGAGGAAGATATGGTGTACGCGTGCGTCGACGTGCTCGTGATGGAGGGAATGCGCCACCTGAAAACCATAGAGGCCAAGAGCACGCTCAAGTCCTACACCTCATGGATATACGACTACAAAAGGTGGACGGCGAAGATGCTTAAAAAAATTGGCGACAAACTGCCGACAGCAGAACAAATGAGGCACGTCGACGAGATAGGGCACTGGACACACAACAACAAGAGCAAGGATTGGGACAACGAGAAGGTGGTCAAGCGGAAGCACATATGGCTGCACGGCCCCCGGGTCACTAGTACGCGACTGCGCGCCTACATCAAGTTCATGAGGCGGGAGTACAGGATCGACGCCGACACGAACGAGCCAGTGCGAGCCTACACGGTGCACATGATCCTCGGCCGCATCAAGGCCTGCCAGATGGCGGCGAGGGTGGAGGCGACGCTCTTCAAGGAGAAGGAGTTGGGCATCATGCGGGAAATCTCGGTGGTCCGGTCGGAGGTGCGGGTCATGGTCCGCACGAAAAATCAGAGGGACCTCGAGTAAGTTGGCATGCATCGCCGTGTTATGTCGCCATCGATTTGTTTCCTCGCCCTAATATTCATATCCATATATTGTTATGTCGACAGTAAATGCGCCGACCGTCGACGCGGCACCATCGGCGACACATACACCGCCGAACAGTTCCGCCAGATAATGACGAGGGTGCTGCCGGCTTGGGCGGCGTCGGCATGGAGCCCGCATTTCACCACACCTTCGCAGACGCTGTGGAGGTTTCTTCTCATCAAGGTGCTCACGCTGCTCTCCCACCACAGCCTCATGCGCGGTGCAAGCATACGCGAGATAACGCTCCCCGACATCTTCCTGTACCGACTGGCGAGCACCTCGTCGGTGAACCCGGATAACCAGCCGGTCGTCATGGTGGTCGCCGCGCGGAACTCGAAGACGTCGAAGGATGCGCGTCTTCAACAGAGCTACGCGGCGCGGCACCTAGAAGCGGAGTTGTGCGCCGTCGGCGAGACCGGGCTGTGGTTACACTTCGTCCTCGACCAGATCGGCCAGTTTCACGGAGTCGACCTCATTCCGCCGGTCGACACCAGCACACGCGAGCTCTGGTACAAGAAGCACCTGTTCTTCGCCCGCAACGACCCCGAGCAGGGCGAACTCTCAGCTCCCAGCCACCAGCGATGGACGAGGCAGATGTGGAAGACGAACGGGGTGTTCTGCAAGCGGAACGTCCATGCCGCTCGGGCGGGCGGGGCGCAGGAGTTGGCCATCCAAGGTACGCCTCGCGCCGAGATAGCCGAGCTGGGTCACTGGGCTCTCGACAAGATGACTCGAGCCTACATCACGTCCATTCCCGTCGGCGTGGTGATGAAGAAGGCCGGCTATTCGGGATTCACGCAGGACTACTTCTTGGGTCGCAGTAGGGTGGAACCGGGAGACGAACTCCTCGCTCTCATCGCCGAGCACATCTTCCCCGACGTCGACGACCTCCTCAACAAGGTTTGTTTATCGGTGCCGACCAATCTTGCATGGTACTGTCCTATCCACCATGGAGATAACCCCCGTCTGATGTCTAACTGCAGGCAGAAGAACTCGCGAAGAAGGGGTCCGACGCCGACGTTGCGGCCGTGCATTTCTGGCGCACCCTTCTGATGTTCCGCCGCATTGTCGCCGAGGACCTCGCGGTGAAACTCGTCCGCACCCCTTGGCACCCGTACATCCAGTATTCCAAGCTCTGCCGGATTCCCCTCTTCCAGCACTGGGCGAAGAGGGTCGAGAAGACCGACACCGACACCATAAAAAAGCGGCAAGATCCAACCCTCATCCAGCCAGAGGTATGTCATCTTTTATGCCGACGTCGCGATGTTATCTATGACCGCTACAACCCCTCATCTGCACCGTTATTCGCATACCATTGCAGGAGATATCGGTCCGCCATGACGCCCAGTTCGCGGTCGTCTCCCTCACGGAGACGCTTAAGCTCGAGAGGGAGCGGTCAACGGTCCAGAAGCTCGACCTCGAGGAGAAGATCGAGAATCGCGACGCAACCATCGCGTCGCTCGCGGCCGAGATAACACGCCTCACCGA